AAAAAATTCTCAAAATTTTGAAATGCACTTGGTGACACATTTTAGAATGAGATGGAAAACAACATGGAGTCCTAATTACATTTCTGCAATTTTACAGCTTCGTACAGCGTACACGCTAGGCAGATAAGGATTAAATGAACTCAAAGATCTCTGAATGTGAAATGGACATTTCTATTTTTGGAGGAATTTTTACCAAGCTTCAACATTTTCAAAATTTAAAAAAAAGGACTAATTTTTTATTTAACGTTGTCTTTGGTTAGCGTAAATAACGCTTAAGAGAATTTTGCAAGTCTTATTTTTTCCTCATTAACTATTACGTATAGTTATCCTGTTAATTGTCATTTTGTATATACATTACGCTATAATTCACAATTTTTCCTTTGTGTAGTTGATGAAAACGTGGGCATAATTATTTTAAATATTAATATTTTTAGAAACGTTATTCTTGTCTTTTGCAACTGGAATAAAATGTTCAATCTTAAAGTGTTAGAACTGCACGGACACGCACACGCTCCTCACTCTAATGTCCTTTCTAATAACCCGCTTAAAATCAGTGTAAGTTCGGAGAGAAATTAGAGTTCAATTCACTTTCTGAACTTTTCATTTACAATAACATTGGGATTTGAAAAACATATTAAAATTCATAATATAAATATAAATATCATTTAGATCTCTCAAATTAATAAAACATCTCTTTGATGTTGTTCACAGTTTTAGCTGAAAATTCTTCGAAAGACACGTGGCTCCCTCTTTCCTTCGCGCTTGGCATTCGCTACTCTCTTCCGGTTCAGTCTTTTCTGGAGATAGTCCGTAAACATGGCGAACCCTATATCGAAGAAGAGGAAGGTTTGTTTCTAAATTTTGAAAATATTGCACCCTAAAAATTTACTTATTCTTTTGTAGACTTATTAAATTGATAGTATTAGATTTGAACTACGCAATTGAATTGTATATGCTTTTAATGGTATCATGGATTAGGGTGGATATTGTAAACACACGGAACGCCTGAAATTCATCCATGTGATTCGTAGGTTATGAGACGTTAATTTCTGTACGGTAATGTGCGCTTTATTTTACAGTTTGTTTTATTTTATTTGTTTGCAGTTTGTGGGAGATGGTGTCTTTAAAGCGGAGCTAAACGAGTTTCTTACTCGGGAGCTTGCAGAAGATGGATACTCCGGTGTTGAGGTGCGTGTTACACCATCACGCACGGAAATTATTATTATGGCTACACGGACGCAGAACGTACTGGGCGAAAAAGGTCGGCGAATCCGTGAACTCACATCTGTAGTGCAGAAGAGATTCAATTTTGCCGAACATTCCTTGGAATTGTATGCTGAGAAAGTGGCAACGAGAGGCTTGTGTGCTATAGCTCAAGCGGAGTCTTTGAGATACAAATTGATTGGAGGTTTGGCTGTGAGGAGGTAAAGTATGATTAGTTTTTGCTCGTTTTCCATTGCAGTGCGTGTGGTGATTTTTGAAGTAGAAATTGATATATTAAAACTATAAGATGAATATTTCAACTAGTTGCAGTAATTTTGTTTACTTATTTCTTACTTTTACCCTCAAAACTGAAGTAGATCAGAGTTGAGTGTATATTTTGAATGAGTTAAATGGTTATATTATAAAGCGCCATTAGACATAGGTTCAAATCTTGTGACTGAATTAGTGCTGTGAGAAACGAGTGTTGTTTTGCAACTTCGTGTAGTAATGAAGCAGTAGCAACTGATAGATGCCCTGTGTACTAAAGTGTAGAGTTCAGCATTAGCTAATAATTTATTTCATTACCATCTGCTTGAATGAAATGGGTGAATAATTTTGTCAGTGGTTTTGTATTGACAATAGCAAGATTACCAAAATATTTATCAGTAAAAAGCTGTATGATATTTGAGTGTCTAAATTGTGATGTGATAACAGTAAGCAGTCTTTTAAAGTTTGAGAATATCTTCAATCGGTTCTCAGGTGTCCCATTTGTCTGATACTTTTGCGACTGGATTTTTTCACTCAAGCAGTTTTTACCTTCACAAATTAATAAAATGAAGTGAAGTATTAAATTGAATATTTGTAATAAATATCTCCTCTGTTGCTGATCATTACAATTTTGCATTAAGCAAGAGGTTGTTGCACATGTGCCTGCAAAGAAAAAGTTTGAATATTTGGTGTTGTGCTTATAATGTAAAACTGTTTTTAACATCTCCAAGTAGCATAACTGTTCCAAGAATTAATAGCTGGAGAACTTGTCATTGTAAAGGAGAATGATCTGAAAATGAAGTATGGGACGAGAATAATGAATTGTAGTATTTAACGATTTTTTGAGTTATTTTGTGTGTGGGAAAATATGTGTTTGTAGCTAGTTTTGCTTAATGGGGTAGGGGGATTCTAGTGCAAATCTGGTTATGGGGCAACTTTATTAGCAGTAAATCCAGAAATAAGCAAACACTGTTTGCACTCGAAGGAAGCACAATATTGTATGTGGAGGTGGACATCCTGTGCTGTGACAGTTTTGATAAACTAGCCAATGCCAATACATAACCAGATCAGTACTATAATATTACACATTTTTTATTTTTAATATTGTTGGCTCAGATGCACAAATTGCTTTTGGAATGGTTGTTGGCTATGATAATTTTGTGAATTTAACTTATGTTTTTTCCATTAAAATGTAAATTACATTTATTTTGCAGGGCATGTTATGGTGTGTTGCGATTTATTATGGAAAGTGGTGCAAAAGGCTGTGAAGTTGTTGTTTCTGGTAAACTGAGAGGTCAGAGAGCAAAATCAATGAAATTTGTAGATGGTTTGATGATTCACAGTGGAGAGCCCTCTAATGACTATGTGGACACTGCTACTCGTCATGTCTTGCTGCGACAAGGTAATTAATTGGATTTACATCATCTTCAATTCTATGGTAGAGATGATTAACATTCAATTATTATAGTGAATGAGCAGAACCTTTAACTGATAAGTATCAGAAATGATTAGTGCTTTCTTCAACAATAAGCAGTACGCTTTGTTATTGTTGAAAATAATCACTACTTTAATGAAACTTGTTTCTGGTTTCTTGCCACTGGGAGGAGTTCACGATTTTTAGTTTTTTTATAAAATTTCAAAGCTTAAATTCTTCCAAAATTGAAACTGAAAATACAAAACAATGTTGTGTAGAAGAACTGGGGAGGTTTGTCTGTAACAATTGTAAAATTTATTTTAGGTCATAATTGTTGAAAACATTTTACTTCTTAGTTCAGTGTCAATTTTTACATTTGTTTTTTTGTCTCACTTGGCTATGCAGATGCTTTAGAGCAGAGTGGTGAGGGGACCCCTCCCCAGGTGGGGGAGATAAGGTGACCTGTGATAAACCCTTTACTAGCGTTTATAAGAAAATGTGTGCATGTATAGAAAATGAACAAATTATTACTTAGGTTTTTTAATGTAGTTTTTCTGCTTATGAATCTCTTAGAAATTCATGAAAGCATGTATGTTTAAATGTGATAAAAAAATTTGTATGTAGTTTCATTGCAACTGTAAATGTGTGTTCATGCTTGAAGCTAGAACTTCAGAGGTTGGCTGTGAATCTCAACTGGCAGTGCTAATGTTTTCTCTAAGGGAATTCAGTACTCCTCTTTTCAATCATTTTTATTTTGTGGATATACACCCACCTGAAATTTTATCATTCAATTTTTCTCAATATAATTAAAGGAGTGCTTTGAGGGTGAAAAATCCACAATCAAGTTTCTCTATGAAAGCATGAACGTCAAACATAATAAAATGTTTTAATCAGGATTGTGGTATAGTTAAACCCATTAGTGCATGGTGTATGATCTATTGGATGGTACTTAATTGTTATTTAATGTTTTTAAACATTTCGTGATTTCATTGATTGTGTTGGAAGCTAATTGGAATTACATGTTCATAAGGAGAAGATGAAAATATCATGTGTGATATCAAATTACAGTTATCAGTTACAACAAGATTCTTTCACTTTATTGTAAAGTTAAGTTACAGAATAATTGCACCTGCGTTATTGTACTTATTTTGTAATATTTTTATTCTATAGTATCTGCGAGGTCTACTCATTATGAAACTGTAGAATTAGCAATATTTTCGCTTTTCTATACTTTCACAGTTTGTGAAACCTTTAGCTGTCTCGTTTATTGGACATGCAGCAAGGACACTTGCAAAACTCTTTTCTGATGTGAGCCAGACATTCTGTTTTCAGTCCTACCCCGAATATAGTTTTATTGTAGCTGAAGATAATTCATGGTCATAGGTATACAGTTTTATTGGTAAAATTTTAGGTTCTTTTCATTTTTGACAATTGAATCCTCCTTTTTCTATAAGTATGTTCCGTATAATTTATTTTCATTAATGAAAGGATTCTTTAATTTTACCGAACTACACATACAATCATTACTTTCAGTAATAGAAGGCTTGTGCCTATTTTTTAATATGTCGAATTCACAGCCCATAATACTGCAGAATGCAGAATGAAGTTGTAGAAGGGTCAATGCAATGAAGCAGTGTGCAGCGACGCAGAACAAGAGTTCAAAAAATTATTGGCCAATTTTTGCTTACTTTGTGGATCTCTCTGTAGAACTTATAAATGCATGGTTGATGTGAAAAAGTAATTCAAATATTGAATCTGTAAACGCCTATAATTTTCATCGCTACTCCTTTGTCATTGCTAAAATACCGTCAAAAAATCAAAAAGTTTCTGAAAACCAGGGAATGGAGTTCAGTTTGAGCAGACTAAACACTGGTCCGAGAAAAAAAACTGGTGTGCTCTTGAAGGACATCACGACGGAGAAAATAAGAATGTATTTGCAGAAAATGCAATATAAATGCTGTATCCTGCATGTTTTCTGAAATTCCACTTCTTAATGGAACAATTGGTATATATAATTTTATTTCTGCTTGGTCTATTTTGTCTCCGGGGGTATTTTCTGTACATTAAAACTTTCTCTTCCCTGACCTTAAAAACTGCAATGTTGTTGGCAGTTGGAACATGATTCAAGGCAAGGATATGCCTGCCAATGCACTCTGCTGTGGCCCATGTGCATAGTGTTTGCTGAGTCTGACAACAATTTTTTCTAAAACTATAAATCAAAAACAAATATCAGTGTTTGGAAATGATAAACTAACATAATTAACGCATTATGTCCCACTAATGCATGAACGCGGCCCTTTTTTATCTCATTTGACAGTTTCGCATTTGACACATTCGTCTGACAGTTTTTGCAAGTCTAAACTTCTCCTGTTTTTGAATTCATCATTATCGTCCACAGTTTGAATTAGAAGCTGATAATTGTCTATATGATTTCGCATTACATTTTTTGTGCACAATTTTATAAATAGGTCAGAAATGTTATTCAACTGCGGAAATCAAATCTCATTTAGAAGAATTGGATACCAAAGAACAAGAAAATAGGGATGTGGGTGTCATAATTCCTCGGATGTAGAAAGTCTAATTGATATAGAAAATATAATCACCAGTTAATTATTTTTAAGGCTGACTTATTATTTTGGTAGTAGTTTATATGCTAATAATCCTGCACTGGATCCCCCTGATATAGTGGGAAAACATGAGGTGCATAGTGCTAACAAATTTTTAAAAATTACTGAAGTTGATGCTGAAACAGTTTTCTGAAACTGTAAAGAGGCTCTAAGCAACAGTGAGGTGCATCGCGAACGAACTTAGCAAATACTGTGTTTTCGTCACGTACCATCTGATGTGGAACAGAAAATTAGAGTATTTGTGAAACATATGCTAACATGAGCAGAACAGAAATTATTGAACTTTTTAATAGAAAAGATTTACTTAAATTTTTTGTGAAGTATATGTGTGATAAAAATGACCTCTATTTCAATACAATGTACACAGAATTGTGACAGTTCCTTGGGATTCTAATTTTGAAAGGATATCATACGCTACTTCAAACTGAAATGTATTTGAGTTCATACAAAGGTAAGGACTTCCAATTTTAAGAAAAAAGCATGTCAAAACGAGTTTCAAGATATAAAAAGGTTTCTTTACTTCTTGGGTAATGGTAGATTAGACAAATATTTTTGACCACTTGAATAAACATTTTTAAGCAATTTAGAATTTTTGCGCATGATTGTCCATCGATGTGCAGATGGTAATTATCTTATTTTGTGAATACCTGAAAATGTAACAGAATTGTGAATAATAAGAAAGAACGACGGGTGGATTTTAAATTTGATGGTATAAACCATAACATTAAAAAAGATAATAATTTAAAATATCAGATGATAGGGCCTCTGCAAGACACAATTTATTATTGTTCAAAATACAATGTTCCAATCAGTGTAAAATGCTTCAGGAAATTTCATGGGGGGGGAATACTATGTATCTCGAATATAGCATGTGGTCACATGGCGGCGTGGGTTATTCTTCAGCAGGGTAAGGCGTGTCTTCACAAAGTAATATTTCATGGCATTTTGCGTTTTTCTCGGTCGTGCTGCTAATGTCACATGCTCGTGACCGTATCAAGTACTGTGTGATACGGTCCTGACAGCTAAAGGCACAGCTGATAAAGTCCCGAAATGCTTGACATAATTTTACTGTGAAGTCGGGCCTTGAGGCTCAGCTTTATATAAATCGCACTCTAACCCGTGTTACTCAGCGGGCCTTTCGAGGACAAAAATTTTTGAAATACAAGTGAAATAACATCTTGTTTGTTTATAGATTCCTTACAGGAAAATGAAGGTGCGGGTTATATTCCAGAATGCACAGTATATATTTTACAAGTTTTATTCTATTTTTGATATTTGTAGGCTATATTTTTGACAATAAAATTCAAGAAAGAATTTGTAATATATAAATTTTTGTCCATTTAAGTAAGATGGAATGAGAATGAGCCTTATTTTTAATACTTCTCGTGTGTTCTGTAATTTGTGCATATGCAGCATTAACTTTTTCATATTACTGATAAAAATAAAATTTTGAAAACAACTTACATGTATTTCCTAATACTAAACTAAAATGGAAAGTATAAACATAGAAATAATTATCTAATTAGGTTATGTGTGGGAACCAATGGGCTAACACTTTCTAAAAAGTACATAAAATATTTAAAACATGGCTTCATACATGACCAGGTTAAATGTTTCAATCAATCAGTTAGTTTGAGTCAACAACTTATACAGATTATTCTGAAAGGATTTCAGAATTGCATTTGTTTATCCCCGAAAATGTATTCCAAATGCTGGGTTTACACTTGACTTGATAACCATCTGAATGCTGTATGGAAGAAATTTTCTTGTCCAATTCATCTTGTAGTTAACTATAAGCCTATCTGTTAACTTCTAGAAATAGAAACCATTCTTACACATTCACAAGATCTTAAAGTTGCCAGTTTTTTTATGGAAAGAGCACATCTGTGAAGAAATTGCTCGTTCTATCCTTTCAGTACTGTCATAAAGTTGGGGCAATAGCTGAAACATAATACGCATAATAAAATTGTCATGTTGTGTGTGTAATGATCTCGTGCAGCCCTGTCGATATGAGAAAGTGATATACCACTGTTCATGCCTCTGACCATGTCAGAAAAAGACCCACATGCATCTTTACTGATATGTAGGAATCTGGAAAGACAATTTGATACCCATCTACCTGATATGTAAGAGACCAGTTGAAAATTCCCACCAGTCGGGGGGGGGGGAGATATTTTCAATTTTTTGTGGTATTCTGTTGCAACCTCAGGAACTTCCGGTACCTATGAAATACAACTAAGAGTAGCAAATATTGATAATTTATTTACTGTAATATAGTGGCAACAGTATGCATGTAGCATGAACCAGTGGTGACATAATTATTTTAATTTAAAATATTTCACAAATTGTATCATTGATGAAATAGTCCCTCCTCAGTGAAGAGACATTTAGGCCCTTTTTGAAAGCATTTTGTAGCCCGGAACCGTAACTATGTTCTGAGGTAGATATCAGGAGTTGACAATTCAATTGCCTAAAAAATTCCGTTTTATTAAATTATGCCCAATTTAAGCTTCATACTATAACCTTATAAGTGCATATATTGTGACAAAAATGTTGATTAAGTGAGTTGTAATGCAGGATCTAGGAAGGTTTTGATCAGGTTGTCCATTTGTCTTCTAGCAGCTAGTCAAGAAAGTTGATGTCTCATCAAGTCATTGATTGTAGACTGTGGTTTTGAGATCTGTAGGTATATGTGTGTGTCCCAATTGTCCAATTTTACACATTTTATATACCTTTTCCAGGAGGTTTATATCTTAAACGATGTAAGGATTCCCTATCACAGTTCATCTGACTTGCACAAAGTCACATAGGCAATAAAGTTAGGTTGTGGCAAAGGTTACAAACATGATATAAAGACATGTCATCACCTCTTGGTAGTGTTGAATGATAAGCCACCTCTATTTTAAGATGTCACCAATTACAATTCTAATCCCCTGGTAAATCATCTCTGTCTCCAACAAGACAAAGGAGTTTTTGATATATCAGAAGTTATTGATGCTGCCTTTGAACAATTTGAAACGTACTACAGAACCGGCAGAGTACAAGCGACTGACAGTTCGCTGTACTGTTCCCATACTTTACTATGCACATGGCACCACCCACACAATAAATTAAATCTCAAAACCTTTAAAAATCACCAACTTCTACAAATTGTTAAAATTAATATTTATTTGGTATTGTTAATTTCATAGAACTAGGAATTATGCAAATGCAGGTTTTTGTAATATAGTTAAGTAGATATATAATTTTATTGAGTACAATTATAATTTGAATAAAATGATGTTGACTGAAGGCATGACTTGTAAACTCGCAGCCCGCGTCTTTCTCCCCTCTTTGGGGGATTCAATGGGCACAATAAAAAAATAATGAAACATGTTTGAAAACTTGATATAAAAACTAATGTTGGTTTGTCAAAATTGAGAGGTTGACATACCATTTGGTAAGAATGCTTAGATATTAGATAAGAGGGTGGTTGGCATTATTTGATATTAAAATAATATAATATGAATTACAATAATGTACTTTATTTTATATATGAATTGTGAGCTATCCATTTGAATATATGTTTTGCTTATTCTTTCTTCCAAAGAACGTTTACGGTTGTGCTCTTGCTGCAACCTTTCCTATTTACAAAAGAAAATGTTGCTTTTACCAATCGCAAATTGAATTGCTATTTAGGGTGGACTGTGATTTACTAGTCAACTTATTGATATAAAGAAAATTTGAACACTACACTTGTCTTCAGTACAAAACTAATTTTAGAACAGTCTACTTCAAAATTGTGTGATCTATATCATTGTTATTTTACAGGTGTGTTGGGAATTAAAGTGAAAATCATGCTGCCGTGGGATCCTAATGGGAAAACTGGACCTAAGAAGCCACTCCCTGACAATGTGTCTGTGGTGGAACCCAAGGAGGAAATTTTGCCAACTGTTCCCATTAGTGATGTGAAAGCTGCAAAACCTGAAGTGCCTCCAGTTGCACTTCAGGGATTGTAATTCTGTCATGGTTGATAATATCAATAAATAAATTTATCTATGATGAGTTTGATTAATTTACCCAATATAAAGGCTCCTTGAGTGATAGCACTTGTATCTTTGGTTGGAAAGCTTTCCTTTTTGTCTCTTTCCAACTATTTAGAATATTAATGCTTTAGGTACCTCTTTACTCCAATGTGATCAGTTTAGTTTTGTGAGTAAAGTAGTAATACTAACTTTCAGCTTTTGAGCTGTGGGATTTTACAAATGGTGAATTGCAAATATTTGTGTAAAGTAGTTTTCATTGTTGGATTCCAGTGTAACTCATTATAGTTAACAATTTTTTCTGAAATATATACCACATTCAGGTATTGGAAATTGTTTGTAGTAGAGCAGGCCTGTACAACGTGTGTACACGAGAGGCAAGAGGTGTGGAAAGACAGCTTTGGGAGGAGGAGAGAAACTAGAGCTGGGTTGACGCAGCACATAGATTGAATTCCTGAACATCTAATGCCATCATCCATGCTGTGCAATTACTTGCCTACTTATTAAATGGGCAGTCTACCGTATTTCTAGCTACAAGGGTTGTATTTCTCAGTTAATGTTCTGTGCACTGCTATGTATAGACTTTTTATTTTATGCCCGTTGAATTCGTAAACAATATTTTAAAGCAGTTGCCTCTTAACATAGTGTAATTACAACTAACAAAGATGAACAATTTAATAATTGATTTTTTACCAAGAATGTTCTTATCTAGTGCACAATGGGAAATTCCAAAAATGGTAATGTTTGGAAAGACATATTTATGATCATTTTATCTCCTGGATCTGAATAAGGAATGAACGAGGAAACCTTATATTTTATGGGTGCACATGAAATTATTTTGAGTCTTGTTAAATATAATGCGAAGGGGCTTAATATTTTTATAGGATGTAAATTATTGTGAATAAATGGCGTTTCTTGATTTGAAATTACAAATATATAATGCACTCTTTTTGGAAAGTAGAGCAGAAAGTGGAAATTACTTTTTAAAGAATAAAATTGTTTTGCTTCAATAACCGTCATATTCAATTAAACAGTTAATGAATATATCATTACAATCAAGATTGTGTTACAATTTTGTATTTAGCAACACCAAATTTGCAATTACATCGTAGAAAAGGGAATTAGGTTTTCTGATCTACCAGCTATTATAATACTTCTGGCATCCAAATCAAATGTGTAATTTGTTTTAGGTTCATTCTCTGCAGTCGTGAATCTATAACATTTACAAAATACAAGGTAATGATACTTGCCCTGTGTGTAACAGTCCGTAAATTCACACATAGCTCTTTGAATTGCGCATCTCATTGGCGGTCCACACAGAGAAGAGGGCCCTTTACACGTGATTCTTAGCCGCGCGTCTGACCGGGACGTTCTTGACCACGAACTAGAGTGCGCGGGCATATTATCCTTTGGTGTTCATTTTGTGAATCAGGTTACTACAGGTTTTTTGATTAGATTAATCAGAAATGTCCGTTCACAATTATAGTAAAAGGAAAATTGTAGCAGTGATGGGAATTAGTGCCACAACACTACACCAAGAGGAAATGGACAAAAAAACGCAGTTTGGGGAAAAAAGTTACAGACAACAATGAGATCATATGCCGCTGTTGAAGGAATAAAAGGAGAACCATTCTGATGACTTCCTGTACCCCTCATTTTTAAAATTTCCTAATATACACAGTACTTTTAAGCTCTCATAGACTAGGGCATTCCATTATGGAAGGAAACACCCTCACCGTATCCCGGCTCCAGCGAATATCCACCAGTTCAAAATACCGCCCGCTGGTCATTACGTCCACTCGCAACAAAACTCCAATTGTGTTTATAGATTGTAAGTATTTGGTTTTTATTAGTAAATTCTTTGAAAATTATGTATTTCAGCTTCCGGGTCAAAGACCCTTATTTGGATCAGGGTTTTGTCCAATTTCCCTGATCCATTGAGCAAATGCTGAAATGGCCCCTTGTTTTACCTCTGGCTACTCTGTGTTAATGTAGCTTCACTATGCACACATTTTGTTGAGCCCTCCTTTTGCTTGTAGCGATAGGAGTAAAGCCAATGTTATGATACTGTTTTGTCTGTAATACCAAAAAAGAACCTGCAGTTTGTTTATCGATGCAAATAAGTTTTGTATAACTTGGGAGGGAAAATGTCTAATGTCTATAGTTGAAATGTTGGGAAGAGATTTTTGAGCTCGTGAAAATGTGCAGATGGTACCTCTCCTCCATATGTCACATAGAGTATTTACTGTTTTAGACTAAATAAATCAAAATAAAAAATTTTTTTGAGTTTAAAAACATTTTCTTGAGTTCCAAAATTTCCTCTCATCATTTTAACTACAATTAGTTGAAAGATGAGTAAAAGTTTCAGAGAATCAATTTATAATGCAGATGGATGTAGTCACAATCGTTTGGTTGTCTTTTAAAGACCTAATTTTTTGCCACAGTCTTAGTCTGATCCAAAAATCTCTATATTCAATTTTGTAGTTTTATTTCATTATTATTATTTTTTGCACTTTTTGTAAAATAGGGACTGTCATCCAATATGAGATTTGCACCAACCTCTTAAACGTCTTTCACACCATTGATTAACACAATTTAATCACAATATTTGGAGCCATTGGTTTAAAATTTTGAAAATGTCCGAGAGGCTTCAGGTAAAGTACCTTCCAAAATTAAAATATCGATTTCAAATTCCAGGGACTGCGACATCAGCCAGATCAGTATCAAGTTTGGAGAAAATCGGTCCAATGGTTTAGCCGCTAGCGTAGGACAGACAGACGTTTTGCCGTCAATCGATTTTTCGGTATCTAGAACCAACAAAATATGGATTCTGGATACAACACGAGTTGGATGATTTTTTTGTCTAAATTTAGCGACAGAATTTATCCACTTTTTCACCAGAATCCGACAATAGGATTTTTCAGGTGAAATTTTGGCCTTTTTCTGGCGCACGATTACATAACTTTCTCTTCTTACGAAGATTTCGTGAGGCGAGAAAGTAAAAATTAATATCAATTCAGTTTCATGGGCTGGAAACACAGAATTTACGTCTATAATACTACTATTTAGCTCTTAATCGACATTATAATATTTTATACGCTCTCCAATCAAATAAATTTAATCTTCATAGTTCAGTCTAGAGAAGAACGTTTTGAAAATCATCGCTAGATATCGCTGTCGGCAGGTAGGGATGTCCTTCGCGATCAACCATACGGGCCAAGGCTTTTTCGACGCGAAATTTAATGTTTTCGCGAGTGAACATTTTGAATGAAAAACTATCACCAAAAGAAAATAAATTATCCAAACATCATAAATACCTAATACCTTCAATAATAGACTGAACTTATGTACTCTCAATAACACGCGAATTTCATACAATTACAAGCTAGTGTCAGACGAAGACAGAAAATTGGAAATCCCCTCGGGACACAGCGCTGTACTCGGCGACGAAATCCCCCACCCATTGATTGCTTTACCGAAGGCCTTATGGTGAAGCGTAGGGCCAAAGCGTAAATGCTGAGATATATACTCTCTGGTAAATGCTGTAAACTCAATAACCGAGACAAGAATCAAGAGCGTGGTGCAATACCTAGGAGGGCACCAGACGCCAGAGAGATCGCCAGTTGACTTCAAAATATTTTCACATACATCGATATTGCTACAATGTCTTGAATATTGAATGACATTAAAACGAGAATGTATAATCCTAACATTTTATAAAATATTTTTCGATTACATGGTAGTTGTGCACGAGCCACCACTACTATAACTCATCTTCGTAAGCCGAAACTTAGTTCAACATTAAAACATTTTTCTCTTATTCTCTAGTGATTCAAAGTATATAGATTTCCCGTATTTCTTATATGTTGTTCAACGTTATGTTCAATAACATAAACAATCTACTAAAAGAGCGTAGTTTTCACAACATATGTTATCATTTACATACATTACCTAAATATGCTGAACAAACAGAATCATAGTATGAACCACTAAAAATTCGTATATTTTCAAGACTTTATTGATGTAAAAGCCAAACGATCTTCAAGAGTTTGTGCAAACGCTTAGTCTAAATATGACGTAGCTTACCAAATCCAAAGAAATTTAAAGAAAAAAATTAGAGCGGTTTTTGAGAATATTTTTGTGAAGTTCAATCGCAAACTACGCAAAAACTATTTGTTCAACAGTTTTTCCGGAATTTTACGATTGAAATTTACAAAACCAATTCTCAAAAACCTCTCCAAATTTTTCCTTTAAATTCTCTTTACTAAAATTATAAGAGACGATAAAAAATATGGTGGTAGTCATATTTTCGGGTATTGCTCGATGTTTCGAAAGTTTAAAAAAAGTAACTATAAAATTGAAAATATGTTTGCTTCAGACAAAGTTTGTTGTACAAAATTAGCTCTGATACAATTATAATAATAAAAAAGGTCATGTATAATTTTTTGAAAAAAAAACGAGTTGTTTTTGCGTTATTTCTGGTTTAAATTAATGAAATTATTACTTCATATCGGAGGCAAATACAAGTAATTCTTAAAGTGACGTGTTATTTAGGCAATCATTCATAAAATTATAATATAGTTCAGTTTAAGATATCATATAACTGTAGAGTGCAAGCAACACCACCTAGAAACTGTACAGCAAGGTTATAGTATATCCAAGTGATTAATAATTTATTAATTGATTAAAAGATTTATCTTGAAGGAGATGCGCGCGATTACAGACATTTACTTTTCTTTTAATTAACATATGAAAAATAAAAATGGGCTATTATATCAGTCATTAATGTTTATTGATTGTCTATTTAGTTGTTATTTATTTTTCGTATCTTCTAATTAGAGACAATTATTGGATAGATTAAATCAGAAACACGTAACTTGAAAACGTGTATATTTGGATTCCATGGTCACCATACCTCGACCCACTTGCTTAATATGCATTTCCACCCTGCATTTAAAAGCTCCAGTTTTTCCGTGGCGAGTATTTAATTATTTTTGTATTTAAAGAATGTAATGCTGTAGGACCGAGAAATTATTTGTCAGATACTACGCGTTTACGAATAGTAATGTGATTAACAGTAACATTATATTTAAAAATTAATTGTTTGAAGCGATAAGAGAAGGAAACATTTCTATATGTTAATGAATTTGTTGTTTCGAATGCATTCATGATGGGATATTTTGGATGGTATTTATTTCTAGATGTTCCATTTATTTGCGAAATTATCTTTGCTTGTCTATATGATGTGCTGGAAATAAAAAAAAATGTTTGCAAATGTTTTCGTTCGTTTACTATTTCATTTTTTTTCAAAAAAAAACAATTTTCGGACTTAGAAGGAAAGACGAAACGTTTTAGCGGGCTTTCTGCTTTTCTGCTCTCCGGGGCATCTATAACTATTTAATTTCTTAATGAATTATGAAGAGACTAATTGGTTTTTCTTTTGGTCGTACGTCTTCATTTAAAATAAAATAATACATTTCATAATGAACTTAAGACACGGCGAAAAATAATTGTATGTATTCGAAACAAGCAATAGTGTTCCATAAAAAACGCCTTACAAGAACTTTCATAATACCACAACAATGCAAATTGAAAACTTCTATTTATGGCAAAAATGGCGCTTTTAGCAAAGAATTGATAAGAAAATATGTGCTCATTGTTGGCAACGCCCATCAATACATGTGCGCTTTGCTGTCAGCGCACATTGACTGAGATATGTTGATATAGGCGCAAATATGATATATTATTATTACATAACCGTTACTATGGGGACAGAAAGTATGTGCTGTTTAGCACCACTAGTTTAACTATTGGTGCTACAAAATGTCACAGATTTTCTCGTTTAAGTGAGTTTTCTAACTTCTTTGGTCTGGGTCAGCTTTACAATCTTGCCCCATCCTCTTGCTAACCAGAGAGTATTACTTCAAGAACATGAAATGTGAGTAAAACGTCGACCTACAAGGAATTTTTTGTTGAAAACATTGGAAGTATTTTTAAGAAAATAGCGTTTAAACGTTACTATAAATGCGAAATCTTTTTCATAGATATCTTTTGAGTTTTTGAAAATCTTTATTGGAAGTCTTTTGAAGCTCTTCCACTCACAAATGCAATTATGTATACAAATCGCTGGAAACGTTCATATTAAAGGCGTGAGAGATGTCAAAAAAATACATTTGTGTAATTTTTGAAAATAACAACAAAAAAATACAGCAAAATTAATTTTGTCATTATGTCATCTTAAACAGAGCAATTAGCATTATCCGTACGAAAAGTTTGAAGAAAAAATTTGAGCCGTTTAGGAGAAAATGACGTTTGAACGTTTCTTAAAATGCGGAATTTTGGGCTCGTTTTCACAGAAATCTTTTCAGTTTTATATGACATTATTTAAACAAATTTATCATAAATGCAATAATGTGAACAAATTGTCGTTGGTGCAAATGTAATGGATGTGGGAGACAAGTAAAAAAACATGTTTTTGTAATTTTTGATAAACAAACAAAAGATTAAAGCAACATGGCTTTTATATCATAGTACATTTATCACAATCGCTACCAAAAGTGTAAAGAAGTAAATTGAAGACGTTTTTGAGAAAATTTTGTTTTTGTTATTTTTTAATATTACGCGAATACTACTAAAAGTTTCAAACAAAATACATGATCTTAATGAAATAACCAATTATGAACAACAAATTTAATTTCAAGGAAAAATCTGTTGAATTTTGTAGTTGATTTCTTTCATTATGCGAAAAATTACGAATACTTTTAGTCTATGTTTATTAACATACTGAATTTTTTTAGAACAATTTTTAATGTTTAATGTAGGTAATATTTCTATCAATGATGATAATTAGAACAGTTTTCTAAAATTAATATTTAAAACATCGACATTTTATAAAAAAAAAAAGAATATGTCATGATATTACGACACTTCTACTCGATTAACATAGGAGACCGAAATTCGTTGGCACTTTTCATACCCAAGAGGCACGTGAATAAAGATGTTTCATACACTTCATTTTATCATAAAGTAGCACCTTAGTAACTTAGGTCACGATAATATTTACTTCGAATCATTTTCAAAATGAAAATGTATTAATAATGTTTGTCGTGTGTCTGATACAGAAGTATCTTTTAAAATCAAATTCGTGAACGGGGTGTGATCTCAGAACCTAAACGAACTGAAAGAAAGCACATATCATTGTAAATAACCAATGTGATAAGAAACCCAAACCTCAGCAACAGCATAATGCAGTCAAACATGTATAAATTCTCAACGAAACGTTGACATGAATAACTGAGGTTGCCACCCACCACTTTCCTGCCAAACCTTTTGACTTCATTCCGGACACACATATTACTTCACTATCATAGACGACTATTACTTAAACGACCAACTAAATAATAGATGGCGACGACCCTACACTATAGTATATTCTAGCTCGTTTGCCACGGGACATCTTTATACAATATACTTTTCTTCCGTTATAGTAGGCGTCTTTTCCAATTCACTCCAGATCTAATTATTCCATGCCTTCTAGTCGACATGTAATTGTCTGCCAACTGCATTTTGGCGGGTTTTGGGGCGCGCACTTGTGTACAGTGCAATGCACAGCCCAAGAAAGAAGTCTGCTCAAGTTATCATGAGTGATTCGTCGTGTCTTGAAGCTGGTCACGAAAGTTATCAGATGGAAGTGGTGTACATTGTTTGCAAAACCGTTGTCTAGATATTTTAAAGAGAGATTTTATAATCCTTAAACAGTCACAAATCATTTCATAATCATAACTCAATGGAGGCCTTCAGTAATTTGATGGGTGAGATGATTGTTAATTCTTGTGTATTTCTGAATAGGCACCTTGATTTTTAAAGGACGCCGAAATTTACTCTCGTCTTTTATCTGTTAAAAATTCCGTGCACCAAATAATTCGTTTTCCATTTAGTGGTTTTATAGAAACTTTCAATTTCTTTTGTAGCATCTTATATTGCCCAGGAGGCTGCTGAGAAAAACCTGAGTGATAAAATTGCTGAAGATAGTCTGAAGGAGGGGTTGAGTTTAACCTATGACATACTCCGTGAAATTGATGTATGTTGTTTACAGTTCATAATCTACCTTTTGTTTTATTTGTGTTATGATGTTTGTCTAAGGATATGTCATTTTTTAGGCAAAGTTCACTCTTAAAGGCAGAGGTCATGAGTCTCTAAGGAATGTATGTATTTATTTAATAATGTATAACCAAGTAACACAAAGTTCCCTATTGTAATAGTACTTGACATTTTATACATTTTTTTTCTTTTTTTCAAGCTTTTGGATAGTCTTTATTCCTACAAATGTTGCTCTATGGAAAAGGGGATGAAGAACGTGTCATATGTTACTGCTGAATTGGGGAGCATTATTCTTCTAAAGCTGTTAGTCAGCCATAAAATGGTAAGATATACATATTCCTTTGAATTATGATTAATGCTTTGTAATGTATGTTGTTTCCTTGGTAAATCTAGCATGAAAAAACCTCACTTGCTCAAGATCTCTCTATTGAAGATGCCATTGTATGCCCATGTAATCTTGTGAGTTATAAAGATCATCTTGAGGAGCTAATTCATGTTCTGCTTGAGTTGAAGTCTGTAAACAGAATTCAAGTAAGCTGTTTTGTATCTTCTGTCATTGACATGGTTAGTAATGTATCATTTAATAAATGTGCATATTTTAAAGGAACTATAATAGGCTTTACATTATTGAATGTTACAAATATTAAAACACTTTATTTCTTTTGACAGGAGCTTCCTGTTGTGGTATTAGATGCATTACAGAAGGCAGATTTGGTTCCAGTCAGTATCTATATTACTCAGTAAGTTGCAATTTTCTTTCTATATTTCATTTTTGCTTAGTTGAATAGCATGATAATAACAAATGTGTTAAATGTTAGGAAAAATGTATTTTTGATTCTCATTTTTATGAAATTATAGTTTATAAAACATAATTTTACTAATAGAGTGGTTTCATTTGTGCATCTTGTTTCTCATGCATTCATGTATTCATATTACTTTAATTACACTCCTCATTTATCGTTATTAACACCCATAACAATTTCTGAAGAGTGACAGAATATTACAATTGAACATAATCAGGATAGCAACATACTTGCAAAGTCAATGTCAGGGAATTCGCCTTTAATTGAAAGTCAAGGCGTTTTTTTTGTTTCTGTGGAAAAATTATATCCAAATTAATGAAAATTAGAAATAGTCATTTAAGCGGGAAATGAAAAAAGGATATAGATTATGTAAGTATGGTTCTGTATATATTTACTGACAGCCAAATTGTTAATTATTTTGGGCAAAATATCAAGTAGGGTAAATAATTTAATTCATGAAAAGATTATCTTATTCTTCAATATAATGTTTTGGGGACATGTCTTGTTCCCTGCATTAGGTACTATAAAAACAATACTAAGTGATATGTTATTAAGCCACTACATTTTCATTTATTATCAAATTGTGTAGTCACTGGGATTGGTCACAGACAGACAGAAACGATTTGAAGAAAGAGAGAAAAAAGAAAAAAGAAGAGGGAAAAAAACAAAACAAAAAAACATGTATTTCTGTTTCATTACATGTGGATTTTCTCTGTACTATGTCTATTACTTCACTTATATCTATAAATGAATATGTGTATGTGATATATATATATTATAATTTAATAGGAATACATATACGTGAAAGCAAAAACATACCTAATTTGTTAATTTGCAATTGTGGGTGTCTTCCTAAAAGCGCAACAAATTTATTAAGTTTAATTTAGTTTTATTTTTGTGTAATCTTTATTTTAAGTGTTGCTAAGGATTTTCGAAGCTAGTTTCAAGGCTGATTTTCACAATCACAATCTCGTTTGTAAGAAATATTATTTTTTTAGGGAAATTTTTAAAAAACCTTTTGTTAAATTTGTTTTCTCAGTATATTGTGTAGTTGGTGTTATTTAATTAATTTCTCCATGTCTCACGATGAAAAGAAGCGGTATTAGAATGAACAGGGAAGGAAGATCGGCAGCGGTAAAAGAACCGCCCGGTGAATGCGCGCATGTGATATCAAAACGCGAGCTTACGAATTATTGTTAACTGACGTCAGAACAGGCGGGAGTTACCAAAACATACCAATAGTAGGTAGGTATTGGAATAACCATCCAACAATTTGAATATATTTTGGTATTTGAGCTCGTGGGCTTTAATGGTGTAATGCCTGTCGTTATGTACGAAACACTCATATTGTGAATCGAGTAGCAGCAGCAGCTTGGAGTCGCCGTTGAATTTATTGTACCTGCAAATTTGGCCTTCAAATTCATTGCGCTCCCTCTGGGTCTTAGCCGTCCGCTGAGATCAGGGAGCATCTGGACTTGGGTCCAGGCAGGGAAAATAATAGGAATTCCAGAACTTTGGGACACTTCGCCCAAGAGAATGTGGATCTATCGCTTGATTTATTCAGTTGACGCGTGAAACAATCGCAAGTACGGCGAGGTAGATTATTATCTCAGTTTGTGACTGGTCATGGCTGCTTTAGAGTCTATCAAGGTACAAATTGGATTATGACCCGTACTGTCCTGACTGGCTGAGTTGATTCAGATTATCAACTCATTGCAGTGCCTGTAACCGGGAGGTCCTGGGATTCGAGGCCCGACGGTGGCAGAATTTTGAACACCAGCTAGACAGCTAGGTCGAATTCAGACGCTGTCTGGAGGGTAACTAGTGACCAGCTGCTCTGTTCCGTAGTATACACACCAGATGTCTCCCCCTTAATCTTCGCATGATGAGTGAGTGATACATCATGGGGAGCTGAATGCTTTAGTCTGAGACCCCAGGTATTCGATTGCGATATCTTTTGCAGGGCCTTCGGTCTTCCCATACCGGTGAAAACCCCCCAAGAGACCTCATTTCCCCTTGGAAACTCCTCTGCCCCAATATTGACCTCAGACCCCCCCCCCCAATCTTCCGAAACAAACTACTCGTCTTTGTTTACCAGATGCAGTTTCAGGAAATGAGGGAAGCATATTCGTGAGATGTATGTAAAACTCGCAGCCCTAAAGTATATGGAGTCAGCGATGTTCCGGCGAGTAGTTCTCTGCTCCGATTCTCTCAGCTCTCTCAGCGTTCTTCCTCACTCTACCTGACGAGATCAGTTCAAATCCCGATTCATCGTCTTCTGTCTCGCCACTATGATCTGTTGAGACGCAGGCCATGTGGGAATCACAGGGATAGAGCTGACAGTGGTGAACAGAGTGGCACAATACCACTTTTAAATTAAGCGTGATAAAGGATTGTGTTAATTCCTGGCATTCGGTATCCATGTCTAGGCGTAAGGAGGTAATTTGAACCCGTCTTCATATCGGACACTGCCACTTTTCTCATGGTTCAATATATCTCCTCCCATCTGTGCATCATCGTGCAGCACGGCTCTTTGTGTGGAACACCTCTTGCTCCAGGGTACGAAATTTGTTGGCAGTCGACGAAGATATGTCCTGGGCAACTGTACAAGAGGCGCTCGGCGATGACGATTCCGCGCTTTTAAAGCTTTTGTTTGCGAGGAAGTAGAATATATAATTTTATTTGAGAGAGGTCAGCCATGTTTATATGGATCATTCCACGTCAAATCGCACAATTTTTCAGAAAATGTCACTTTTTGTGAAGAGTGTAAGCAAAAATATGAAAGTGTTTTTAATTTTTTCTAAAATATTATTTTTCGAGGTTATATTAATATTCATTTTTTTTAAACTGTTCGCATTGCTAAATTTAATCACTTGTGATTCGTATTGTAATTGTGACAGAAAGTACCTATTTTGAGACACTAAAGAATAAAAGATGCTCTTTCATATGATGTTTTAATTGAATCCATTGATTTTTAAAAATTATATTTGACCATTTTATTTTTTAATTTATCCCAAAACCCGACAGTTTAAAAGTTCGAAAAAGGACCATTGAAATGTCTATAAAGTTCTACATAGGTTTGGTAAGTTACAAAGTGGGTCATTGAGATGATTCTGAGAAATTAAATATAAAAGAAATGCCTACTTGCTTTTTTGTTGCAGCGTTTGCGTGTCCCCCCTCAAGCACGTGCCAATCAGCAGTAGACAATTAGCGATCAGGGGCGAACATTTTAAATTAAAGGGTAATGTTCTTCTCATCATAAATAACTTCCTGGGTAAATTAATATTCCTGTCAGATTTGAAGGCTAGCTTGGATTTTTTAAAAAACAGTTCCAAATCGGAATCGATATTTTGAGTATTGCCTCAAACAATTTTAAGATCGTATTCGAAGAAAGACGGAAATATGTGAAAAATAATAGTTATGTACTACTGTTACAGACCGATTACCTCAGTCGGTAATGGTAGTATAGCATCTCTAATTTGGTATCTGTGGAAAAATAGACTGAGATGCAAAGAGACGAAAAGCCGAAACGACTGTCGGGCTTGCGTATCCCGCAAGTCCTGTCTGCTCCGGCGGGGCTGGCCGCACGCCGCCTTGCGTGGTCGTGCCCCGTGCCGACAGAGTTCCCACAACAATCGGGTGGGTGACGCAACGGCGAAAAAGGGAAGGGGGCGAGGTGTTTTCGTAAATTTCGCTTTACGACGCTCCTATTCGTCCGATTTGCATGATGTCACGGCGTTGAATTCAGGAAGCTGTCGCCATCGCGCTATAAGCTCACATTTTTAAATTTTGTCTCGAAGTTTGCCACACTAATTTCAATTCAAGATTTGCTAGATTTTTGGAAAAGGCTTCGTAGCGTAAATTCTATTTTAAAAATGCGTCAAATGCCGTTTACAGATCGAAGTCGGATCATTGGTCAGATGTTATTGGTAAAGTAAATTCTCTTGTATAGTGTGCTGCGATCTATTGAATTTTCCTAGAAGTATTTTTCGGTGCATTTAGCCTTAAGTTGTAAGAAAACTTTATTTGTTACCGTAATGAGAACAAGAAAAGAGGTGCTGATTGCTTCACTAGAGATCTGTTTATGCCACCTTGGAGAAGGAAAATATGTGAATGGTATGTCCCTAAACCTTAAGTTACAAGTAGTATTTTCAGAAAGATCAATACTTTGGTTCTTCATATTTTTGTTCTATTTTGTGTCGGAATGTCTTTCAATCCTGTTCAAATATACATTGTAGAGTAGTCAATAAAGGACGGCGTGTGGAGTTATTTGTTATAAATGATATTGATTTGATTTCGTCAGATTCCAATCCATATTCAATTTAAATATGTAATATCATAGATCATTTTACACTTGCAGACGGCGTAATTAGAAACTATAATAATGTTTTAAAAGGATGCCGGAGCGCTAACAACATGCTTTAATAATGCCACGCATCTGACAACGTTTAAAAAGATGTCTTGTTTATTTATTATTTTTGGCGGTTCATTTGAAATTCCTTTTTATGGGAGTAATCCAATCTGGCAAGTATTTAAATAATTGAGATGATTGCCCACTGAAAAAAATAGGCGGGTTATTATAAGCCAGAAAAATTATAGGATGAACGTCAAAATATGTGACACTATACTGTTACATTAATATTATGAAATTAAGTAGAATATGTAATATGTAAAATCGAATGCAATATGTAATATTAAATTCACCATCATAAATCACAACTTACATAATAAAATATGCATTCAAGAGAAAATTCTACAAATTTGAAATTACTCATATTAAATTAATTTTGAAGAAAGTGGGGTACACCTTTGCCACCATACAACTTTCCTTCCGTAGTAAAGTTATCTGTTGGTCTATCCGAACCTAGTTCATGTGTAGCCGACTAGCACAATAGAAGAGATTCCACAAATTGGAAATAACGGGCAGCGAAATATTCGCTGCAGGCATGAACACTAGGCGATCGCCAGTTATTTTACCAATTAAATTAATGTCACGACGCGAGTCTCAGTGGATCATTTCATACTTAAGGTTAATCATCTGAGATCTTCGCGCTCCCGCACTTTAGATAATTGAACGCGGGCGAGGGCAACGGCCATGCGAACGGCACGACGGGCACATTGTCCGCACGGGCGGACAGACGGCACTTGTCGCCGGGCGGACAGACGGGCCGTTGTCGACGGCGGACAGGACGGGCCAGTGCGACGGCGACAGCGACGTTGTCGACGGGCGGACGACGGGCACGTTGTCGCACGGCGGCAGACGGCACTTGTCCGCACGGCGGACAGCGGCACGTTTGTCGCAGCGGACGGACACGTGCAGCTGAGACGCAACGTGTGGACCGGGCGGACACGACACGCCTGTCGACGCGGGCGGACAGACAGGGGAACAGCCTGTCGGACAGGCGACGAGACCTGTGACCGCTAGTGGAACGTGCGGACTACAGACGGACACGCTTGTCGACGGCGAAGACGGACACGATGGTCGACGGCGGACAGACGGAACCGCTTTCGCGGGCGGACAGACTGGACACGCTTGGTGACGGGAGACGGACAGGTGGAGCGGCGACGACCGCTGTCGACGGGCGGACAATGACCGGAGCACGACTGCCGCGCGACCGGGCGGACCTAGAACGGAACGCTGTCGACGGGCGACAGACGGACACGCCTGTCGGACGGGCGGACAGGACGGACACGCTGTCGACGGACGCGGGACAGACGGACACGCTGTCGACGGTGCGGACAGACGACACGCTGTCGGCACGGCGAAGACGAACGCTGTGGACGGCGCGGACAGACGGACACGCTGTCGGACGGCGGACACGCTGGACGACAGACACGTGGCGGGACGGGCGGACACCTCTCGCACGACGGACGTTACTTGCTCGCATGAGACAGACTGACGGTACGTCTGTCTCGCGGACGAACTGACGGACGTGCTGTCGCGCCGACGTGCTGTCGCGGACGCCCAGTTCAGTACGGACGCCCGCACGCACGTACGGACACGTACCCGGACAGTCAGTCGAAAGGCAGGGGGCGTTTTCCTTTTTTCGATTTTAGTGGGCCCAAAACGTGCATTTCCGTTGAAATCTCGAAATCGATTTTCCACAGCAATACATAACTTTTCCTATACTAATTATATTACTGTGTATATACGTACGATCGTGAGAAAGAAAAAAAGGGTTTGGGAGAGAAACAGATCGCATGGGCCCCGCTACGTTTTCGTTTGTGAAATTTTTAGTACTTACTGTGGTTGAGAGGGTTATTTCGACTCCTAGTGAACAGTTCAATGCCGTGAAGAGCGCCAGATCATTAAATTCTCGCTGAAAATATGGAAATAACTTCGATTTATATTGCAAAAATGCATAAATCATGTTTTTAGGCTATCGGCCAGTGATGAGTCATCCAAACCATCTGATTAAAGCAAACGTAGTATAATTCCAATAATCAGTATCACAAAAGAGGAGAAAAATACTTTTTTGTTTCTATTGGCCATATCTACAATGGTTGTATTGTAGTTATGGTCTAATGTGCGTATTCCTACATTCCTCTCTATCAGCTCTGGATTTATATCTACTGCAGACCTACAATTTAATTTAGTCGGCATTGAACATATGTAAACAGACCTCTGGGCTTCAGTACAAATTTTAAAATAAACGAGTGATTTTTCGAATTCTGCAAAACATCGATGTCGAGAATTTGTCGCAAAAGAAGTGTTCCTAATGCCAGAAGTGTTTTTTAACGCTCACTCACCCGCGTTGTGCGCCAATTTCTGGAAAAAAAAGAAAAGGGAACGGTCTATTTTTGATCAGTATTGTTTTTCTACTACTCCCATCTCAATTAATCTATGAAGAGAATTCCGCTAATTATCATGCTCCTAAGCTTATCAAATTTTATGTATTCACCATATCTTAATTTTTTCTTTTTATTAAAAGTATACAGTGTTTTTGACATATTTTACTATGTACGTACTATGTAATAATATTTACAATGATATTAAATGACCACTGCTAGTGGATATGTGACTGCTAAATACCACAAATATGGTTAATGTTAGGATTGGCCGGTTAATACCAGAGTGTATATCGTTAATACTAATATTTTCCATAGGATGTTAAAAAAAGTGAGTGAATGGATCGGACTTTATCCGTCAGGTGGCATTAGACAATGTACTGTCTGGAAGTGTGGGGCGTTTTGCGTTCGCGATAAGTATTTGGACATAAAAAAATGTTTGGAAATTAGTTATACAGACTCAGTTCATTTTATGACAAGCCCGAAGGTCAGAACTTCGCTGCCAACTCGGAAATGTGTGGAGAGGAGTCAACTGGTGTATACAGTGAAGTTAGTGCAAATAGGTGTGTAAATAAAAAGTATTGCTGTCGTACTGAAACTCTATCTTGAGTTAGAAACTTTCAATTAGCAGTCCTGTCTATTACGTGGTTTCTGATAATTCTCGAATAATGAACCCAATTCTCATGTTAGGAATCTGTGTCAAATACAAGTATGCGAAACTACAACCAATAACCCTGTCATTGCGTCACTCATTCTCGCCACTTCGTGTTGGCTAATTCTAACTTAGAACATACTTGAGTTCTTACAAACTTGGTATAAAAGGGATACTTTTATTTCTACATGCATGAGTGCCACCAGTTTTAGAGACAAAGTAAATGTATCTCATTGATGTGCATTTTTAAATTGTGGGTTGCAGGCAAGGAAACGAATCAAAAATTCTGTGAAGTGAGTATACGGTTACTTGCTTCATTGCTTCACTTTGGATTTGGTGAAGATATTGTGGAACCTGGACCTGCAACATCCCTTTTATGCCATCAGTCTTGTAATGAGTTTTTAGACCAATTTGTTATTGAGGTAATATTTCATTTTTAATTATTAATATAGTATCTATGCTTATAACGATACTTAAAGTAGAAAGATAGGAAATTTAAGATAGCAATAACTTGTATTAGTTACTTCATGTGAAGTAATATGCATGTGTTGTATAATCAGTTGAACAGTTTAAAATTTATAGTTTCTTTGTTTATTATTTTAATAGTGTTGTTTTTTGTTAAAATATGTTTCTTTTCGTCTCATGTTCCTTTTAGGATTTTTCATCCTCGTGTTTTTTATTTCATCGCCCTTTTATTTTCATCACTGGTCTGTATGCTCAACGCGCATCCATGTGTTTGCTAGGTGGAGGGGAATGCGGCCTGCGGGTTGAGAGGTTTGTGCTTGTTCGCTCGTATACCGCTTTGACGTTGGAACCTTTGGTTATACTCCTAACTGTTCGTTGTACGCACCTCCTCATGTCCTGGCGGGTGCGGTAGGTATGTGCTGCGTACCCCAATTCACTACCTTTGGCTCTGGTCTCTTCTAGATGGGCAGTCAGGAACTAACCCATTTCCGATTAATCGGCTCGGTCTATGTCTCTGACTGAACTCCGTGGTGAAAGGAGTGTTCTATGGTTTCCCCCATTAGTGGGCGGCAGGGAAGAAGCCGTGGCACTTCCTGCCCTGTGGCAATCCTGGCACTCCAGAAGAGTGCCCCTTGTTAGACTCCGTGGTAGGCGGGGACCTCGAATTAACCGAAATCCTCCTTATAGATACGAAGAAAACACCTCCCGCCCTCTTTCTACGAAAGAGATGACATTACGGTGTCTACGAAGAAACTTAACACTTTCTTCTGTAAAAACTTGGATAAGCCAACTAAGGTGCGTTTTCTTTTTATGGAATGTACTGAAGAAGGTCGTCTGTGCAGAAGCATCAGCTTTGTCCGTTTGTCCCGCAATCGACGTGTGTTTTGGGAAGATTCAGGCGGTGATTCGTCAGAGAAATGGTACCATTCGTTTCGAAGCTCGCACTGACAGCCAAATTGAATACCTTTTTGAAAACAAGAGATGGCCATCCTCCACGTTAAGGTGTCTATGCACCTTTGCCTCAATGTGACCAAAGTTGTCATGTAGTTGCCATTTGACCAAGTGAATAACGAGGGATTTTGCTGTAGAAAATGAAATTATATCATTCTTTAGAACATAAGGTATTGTAACATGTACAGGTTCAAGCGAAAAAAAATTGAAAAGAAATCACTACTGATCCTAACATTCGATCGTCCGTTTCCTGAACGAATCTCGCGCGGCTGTTATGTTAGACATTTGGCTATACCTTCAGCGCTGCGTGTCAGTTTGACACTGTCTTCTATAACCCATTTGGGCCAAATGGGGCGAACGTCGTGAGAGGATGCATCGTGCTCTTAATTCCCCCCCCCCCCATTTGTGTTAACCGCAAAGGTGATCAGGCGCTTAAACCAATGCCCAGTATTCAAGGAGAGGGAAATCCAAAAAAATCAAGATACTAGGACACCCTCTGGAGTTCGTGAATCTTTTTCTAGTGTTCTTAATCAGCCCAAGAAGAAGGCAGTGAACATCCTGACAGACCATGGTATTCCTTTAATGGCTAACGCCGAGTGCTAGGTGTCACTCTTAGACCTACCTATGGAAATGCCATCAACGGCTAAATTTATTGAATCATGTAAATATTAAAAAAAAAACATAACAAAAAAAACACGAGAAATCTTCAACTAAAAACGTCGAGTCTGCTCCGAAATCTTCTGGTGGAGAGCGATTTGTACTACCGGGGCCACCAGCGAAACACTGCGACCAAGGCATGACCACCTACACAAAAGGATCAATGTCACGGCTCCCATGACGGGCAGATATCCGCTGTGGAGGAGAAGTCCGGCTGTGCCGACCTCCTTGGGCCCTCAAAGGACGCAATTTAAAATACGTATTAAAAAATTTCGAAAAGATTAATTTGTAAACTTAAAACAACAGCCTGAATGTAAGAAACTAACAATGGAATATGAAATAATATTCACATTCTAACTTATATACATTATAATACGGAGTTGCTCTACAGCTGTCGCCGTTTCGCCGCTCTCAATACTTCCCTCTTTAATCATAAATCATCTTGCATTGGTCTTGCTGTCATAGCCTCTCGCAGTCCCTACTGCCGTACGAGACTGGGCCTTCTCTCGGCACCCATCGCAGGGCTCGTTTTGGCCATCTTTTGTTAGTGCTTCGCATAACATGTCTGTACCATCGATTTGTTTTTACTTTCCCGTATACATGCGTATATGCGGAACAATACGTTGTATAAGGAAAGTTATGCGAAAAAATGGCGGATTTTCGTCAAAAAAATGCATCGTCGGGCCCTAATAATGAAAAAGTGAATAAATCCAGTTGCTAAATTAAGATACAAATTCACCCAACCAATAAACCACGCGTACGATTTTTCCAAAGTGAACAAAGCCCTGTCCAACTTGTTTCGAGTCAAAGCTTTGATATTTGCAAAACTTCTTTAAAATTTGGGGGTACTTTATACGAAGCCCTAAGGACATTTTCAAAATTTTCTCTAAACGGCTCCAATTTTTTTAGCATTCTGGTGAGAATAGAGCACCATACACTTATTAAAGTGACGTTGGTCCGATTATCACGATTAATTTCAAATTTTCGAAAATTTCGAAAGTATGAAGTTTTTTCGTCGTCGTCCTACAACTACAAAGTGAAGAAGTTTTTTCTTCAAATTAAATAAATATGTTGTCCGTAATTATTCCTTTCATTAAGGTCATAATTTTTTTTTGAAACGTTTAGTAGTTTTCACGCAATATTGCGTGCAATATTTGCAATTTTATTAAAGTGCAAAAAGAGTTTTTCTCAAAAATGCTCCAAGTTTTTTCTTTAAAGTTTTGGTAGATTTAGTGCTACACCTACTCTATGACATAAACGCCACATTGCTCTATTCTTTTGTTTGTTCTAGCCACGAAAATAATGAAAACTGTTTCGTAAAAAAGTAGTTCTACGAAGTAAAATGACATTTAAATCATCAATATCAATCCTTTAAATATAGAAAGAAAAGGTTGAACGCTGAAGGTAATCCTTGAGCCATCGACAATTTATTCTCGTCACCGAAGAGTTTGGATCGTGCGAAGGAGTAACACGAGTCGCAGAGGGAGAAACTTCTTTCGAACGCCAGCTTGTTGTATTTTTCAAAGTGAAAGGCGAAAGGCATGAGCTGTAGAAAAATTGCTCAAATGTTAATGATTAAGAAGTACGATCCATGAGGGTTCAATAAGAAAAACAGAATCGAGCTGCACCCTCGAGGGAGTTGCCCTAACAAGTTTTCTAAAAGAAAATTACACTTGATTGTAAGGATACTTGACTAGTTTTGGGAGTGAATGTGCCTAAGACCTCGCCGAGCGGTGTTACCTATATAGTTTACAATTCGTCAAGGTTGTAATAATTGCATTTTCCTACTGACTGTATTTGTTTTCGTGGTGTATTTTGAAGAGTATTTGGACAGGGAGTTTTGTTCGATTTTACTGAAGTAGTGCATAAAATGTTCATAAAATACTCAGTCGATTTTCCCCAAAATTGATGTTCCCCAATCGTTCTAGCTGATGACGCGGACCTTGGAATTTGATACCGATATTTTAATTATTTTTTATTGGGGGGGGGAGCGTTTTTTAAAAAAGTCTCCAATTTTTTATTACATTTTGTTGTTGAATAGTGCAAAGGACGTTTAAGAGAATAGTGCAGGTCTCATTTTCGTTGACATCATTTCGAAAATTGGAAAAATAATTTAAAAACTTTAAAATTGGAGATGTAGATTTTTGTCTCACAGTCTGTTGAACAGATTTAACTGTTTAAAAAAGGTCGTGTACAATTGTTTTTAAAAAAGAAGTAGTTTTTGCGTTATTTGCGATTAAAATGTCGATCTTTTTCTCAAAAACCGCTCAAATTTTTTTCTTTACAATTTTTTCACTTGCGTAATAAGATACGGCAAAAAATATGATGCTAGTCCCGTTTTCGGGTATTGCTCGGTTATTTGAAAATTAAAAAAAAATTAGAACTACAAAATCGAAGATTCGAGATTTTTGCTTCAGACAAAGTCTGTTGAACGAAATTAGCTGTTCAGAAAAGGTCGTTTACAGTTTTCAAATAAAAAAAGCAGTTTTTGCGTATTTTGCGATAGAAATTTACAACAAGAAGTAAATCTCTAAAACAGTTCCACATTTTTTCTTTAAATTTTTTCCATATATGTAATAAGAAACGGTAATAAATATGGCGCTAGTCTAATTTTCGGATATTACTCGCATTTTTTGGAAAATTGGAAACATCATTTTAATTACAAAACTGAAGATAATTTTGCAGCAGAGAACATCTGTTGTAGCAAGTCCGGATGGCTGAGATCATTAAGGCAGTAGTGCCGTAGCGATCTGGGACCGAAGGATCGCGGGTTCGAGTCTCGCCTCCGGTATGGCTATGTTTGTGTTCGGCCTTCTTCCCCACTCTCATCAGCGTATCATATCATCGCAGTTCCCATGCCGTTAAATGCAGTTGTGGTCGCTAATGATCGACCTTAAAAACAATAACAAAAAATGTGTATTGTACAAAATTAAGCCCTTTAAAAAGGTCATGTACAATGTTTTTGAAAGAAAAAAACCTAGCAGTTTTGCGTAATTTCTACTTGAAATTAATGACTTGCATAGACCAACTACGAGCCATGAGAAAAAGTGATTGAATGATTTGAAAATTAATTAATTTTAATTATAATTTACTATTGAATATGCCAAAATTAATTCTTTTTACACTCGCTTTTTACTACTTAATTTGCATTCTCAATGTATTGATGTATTTATTTTTAAGCAATCTGTAAGGTTTTATTGAAATATCGCAACATTGCGGCACCGATTTTTGAGAAACTAATTGCTGTTGAATGTCCAGATATTGCTGGATGTGATACAGCTGTTCTGTTAAGTTCAGCTGGTTGTAGTGTAATTCCTGGACCGAAAGCCAGTACGTCCGTTTGCGATGAATTTCACAGCAGTTTTTTTTTTTTCATAAATTACTCAGAATGTCTGGTGAGGTATGTTATATATCATTTAATATCGTGTGACCCCTAAACAAATTTACTGCTTATTGAATAAAAGAAAAACGATGGAACTGTTATCTTACGACGAATGGCAAATCAGGAGTAAGTAGACAATTTTCGTAATTATTTTGATGTAAATTGCTTTTATTCTAATTAGCGAATTGATATTATTAGCCAAGCGAATACACGAAGTTTTGACTACACTGCGCAGATGTAAGTGCGTTACTCGCTTCTTGGTTGAATTACCCATTTTCTAATACTAATCATTATCTTTTGCTGCTTCAGAGGGCCAATAGCCAAGCAAGAATAAATTTAAAAAAATACTAGCTGAGGTTCTTAGTGGTGCAGAAAATGCAATATTTCAAATTACATAGCTGTTTACAATAAAAGTATATGCTGTTGTCGCAGCCCTACTTCATTTGAAATATAATAAGAGGGAAAGATTAAATAAATTCACTCTGTATGTCTGAGTGTTGTGAATCTGGGTGTGAGTGTGTGCATTTGCAGAGGTGTATTTTTTTGTTAGTCTCTTACGTGACTAGTTACTATGCTGAAAAAAAACTCACAAAAATAATATATTGTTTCAGGTTACTAACCACATGATATCTGAAGAAAATAGCTCTTCCTTTGGACAGCACTTTTTGCAGTTGCGGGAAGACAAATGGCATGTGAGAGAAACTGCCTTGCAGGAATATTTTCTACGCATTCTCCGGTCTGCAGCTACGTCGCCTTGCATTTCTGCTGCGCAGGCCCTTGCTTTTCAACACCGTTGGTTTTATTCAGAAGTTGGGCCCTGCTTCAGTGTTAACTTGAACTACGTAAGTTGAGTCATTATTTAACTAGTATCTTTGATTTGTTTTCACTTCGTGTGAAACATGTGCTTAGCTGGGAGTTTGATATTTGTTATACAGCATCAAAAACGATTCATCTTCAGCTGCGGGAGAACCTCGTTCTGTTGTTTTTCTCTCGTGAAAACATTTTCGGAAGTGATATGTGTTCTGCAGGACTTAAGATCTAAGTGTGTAAGGCGCTGAAAGATTTTTTGAAAAATTGTGCTGAGGAAATGGGGAAGGTTTATGCGGCGGCGATTTGATGGGAGCCGATGCTTCTTGCGGGGTTTTGGGAGTATGGCCACGCGGGAGGTTTACCGGGCGGCGAGGAAGTAAGATTGTTTGAGACAGGAGTTTGGGATGAGGGTAAGTAGGTCGATTGCTTGTTTGCCAGAATTCTGAGTTGGGATGGGAAGACTCCATCGGACCCATTTTTGTGGTCTATCGTTCTTAGGATTTTTTCTTCAACTTCGTTCGTCGTCCGCATTTGTTGTTTTCGGGAGGTAGTGAAAGGGTTTTTAGGAAGTTAAGGATTATGTTGTCTGGGATTGGAATATTGAAGGAAAGGAAGCGTTTGGCTAAGAATTAGCCGAGGGTGTTGGTGATTGTTAGGCATCAAATGCGGAGACTTTATTGTTGGTTAAGGATTGGAGATATTGGGGAGGGTTGTTTCGTACAGCCTTTATTTCTTTATGCATGTTCTTTGGGGTTGCGGTTGTTCTTTAGAAGGTCGACGTATTTGTGAGTCCCGTGTTGTCGCAGTAGAGTATGTATTCGTTTTTGTGTCTGTTTTAGTTTATTCTTGTCTGAATTTATTGTAGTCGTATTTTCGTTTGTGTCGGATATTGTAGAGTTTTCATCATGGAGGGTCGGATGGGTCTTTGTAGCGTGTGTTGTTTTCGTGTATGATTGTTTGATGTAGTTGGCATATGGGCGTGTCTATATGTGTTGTTGGGATATCCGGTGGAAAGATGTTTACATGTTTTCCGGTAGATTGTGAGGGTGGCTAGCGGTTTGAGAAGTACGTAGTAGGAAGCTGGGAAGCATGTGAATACAATAAGGATGGTCTGAGTTGTCGAAGAGATCTTTGGGGTAAGGAATGGTTTTGAAGAATTGAGAAGAGGAATGCATAACGAGGTCTAGGATATCGTGGGGAACGTCCTCGACGTGGCTTGGTTCCGGGGGCATTAATATGGATCTGGGGGTTTTGTTAATGAACTCAAGTAGTACTGTTATGTTACTTGTCATGGAGCCCCACGAACTCTGTTTGTTGTTAAGGTCGCACGTAGCAATCGCTCACTTGCGCATCCACGAGACATACGAGCAATCCTACATGCCACTCAGTCGGAGGCCGATCGCATATTCAGAAAGACCGCTGGCAAGTTCTGCTCTCAAGGGCGAGGTCGATCTCCATGCAAAGCCGCCAAACCAAATTGTTCATCTCTGAGAATGTTCAGACGACGCATTTCGTTTTGCAAACGCGACAGAATCATTCGCTCGAACGCCATCCCTAGGATGGAGACTTCACTATTAGGTGTATAACTGCTCGGGATTAATTTATTTTTGCAATGTTTCGGTAATAGCGCAATAGCCACTAACATCTTCACCTTCGGGGAAACAACCGCACGCCAGGCACGCATTCAGGAGCTCGAGTAGAAACACGACTCCCCGCTCTCCCAGAGCGCGCAGCTGCTGGCCCGTCACTTCATCAGGGCCGCCCGCTTTTCGAGGATTGACGTTACAAGCTCGGCCCAGAGCTCCCCTCCCGGAAACTCGGCGCGCCGACAAGAGAGGGAGCAACGGGCCAATAGCGTTAGAGCTGATCGCATCACCTGCGACAGTGGCGGCCAATGGCAGCGTAGCGATGCCCGTTTCCAACCCGTGGAACTGCAAGCGAATTCGCGAAAGTTTCGCTTTTTTTCGCGTTCCATGCGTAAACGAGCCGAGGTGTTGGAACACCAGGTGCCACCGTCCCGGCGTTGCCCTAGATCGGGCTGTTTACTCCCGGTTTGCGGCCCAGCGCACGAGAAAGAACTCATACGTGCATCTCGTGGAGATTACATTTTGAAATTGTAACAGACCTTTAAGCAGCTCTCTCATCCCGTAGAATGAACGGAATTATCTGCTTAAGCTGCTCGCCCGCTCTCCGCCAACAGGTTTGCCATAAAGGTGATGAACTTTTGTCAGTTCTACGCAGTTCTCTTTAAAATCCTTCTTTGCTCAACTGTCAGCTCTAGAAAACTGATTTCGACTTTACAGTGAAGTGATTCACTGCTTCGTCAATCTTATCTTCCGTATTTACTGTTTTCCGCTCGAGCCGAAAATTCAGCGGTGCTGTGAAACCTGCCCAGTTCGTGTCATTCGAGATTTGAAAGTTATCTTCGCGTCAAGGCGTAGTGGTGTCTCAACAGACGTCACTACACATGTTACTGGATTATGATAGGAATCCAGTGCGGCGATTGATCGGGGAAACACGAACTCCATGCCTTTCTCAGTCATAAAATCAATAACATTCGGATTTCTGTTACGTACTTCCGGGAAGTGCATAGGACTATTTGATGCGCAGATCTGTACGTCCTTCCTTGTCGCTACAAGATAGGCAATTTTGCTGCCGTTTCAACTCCGAGTCCGTCCCATGTTCTGTCTGTTGAAGTCACCCAGAAGGATAACTTCGGAATTAATGCGAGAACCGCATCAATTCTAACCGGTTCGAGTGTTTGGTGTTGGCAGTAGACGGACACCACGAAAAGTCGACTGTTTCCCACTCTAGAGACGCCAGAGCAATAGCAGGAATTTCGGCTTCAAGCTGCGGCAGTTCGCAGTGTAGCGCAGTGCGATCGCTACGCTGCCACCTTGCCTGCCAGCGCGGTCTAGCCAAGATATGAAGTTGAAACTCAAAGCGAATTGTTCAATTTGCTGGGTTTTAAAGATATCACTTCGCGCTTTTGAAGTTCAGGTGCTGAAAGGTGCTGCTGGCATGTCTACGTTAAGATTTTGTCTAGGCATTGTCGGGTAACATACTGAGGATACGCTCTAAAATCACTAGGAACTGGCTCCTAGTGATTGAGCGGCAGCTGCGGGTTGGCCCCTGCGCCGAGACGCCCCGCGACCGCGTTGCAGGCCGGCCCGCCGCTAACTGGAGACCGAGTCGCCGAGTTTCTGTCAGAAACTTCTTGGCGCGATGACCTCTCGGTTTCCTCTTTCTTTTTCTTTTTCACGTCCGTGTGAAGAAAGCATAGGTAGCGTGCAGTGGCTGCAGCCTGTCGGGATCGTGTGACAGCAATCTGGTTTTAAACTGAAATTCTCTCGTGGGCAATGCACCGTTACGCGTTGGCCGTCAGCGCACATCGTACTCGCAGTTGCGAGCAATGTGGCCCCAGCAGCAGCATCGTTTACAAAATCATTGTTGTGCCCACTTTTCGCCTTCGACCACGATTGCGAAGGATTAGAGTTGCTGTAACGTGTAAATCTTTCGCGACTTGGCGTTGTCACGAAATGTGACCGTGAAAGTTCCTGTCGGAATTTGCACATGCCGACGGTGCCTGATGCACCTTCAGCTTCATCGGAATCGCTGTTTCTGGCGACCGCTGATTCTTTTAGCAGATAAATTTGATGCCGTAGCCGAGCTCTCTTAGCAGGTTGTCTACGTCCTGTGCGGTGTAGCTTAACGGAAGTCCTATGACAAATACTCTGAGGACTTGCGGGTGGGTTCGCGGCTCTCCCTTATATCGGAGGGCGCGCCAAGTGACGTCCTTCGACATAGCCCACGCGCAGCTCTGCCGCGTTGTTTAGTGACGCTCGCTCGCTTGGCCCCAGGTTCTCTCGCCTACCTGAAATACTGCCAGCCCGGTGTGGCAATTTTTAGCTGCTCATCCCCATACCTTGCAAGTGCTTCTCTACTACAGGGAGCCCAGCGCTGACTCTGCAATCGGTAATGAGTTTTACAAGTAGGGCCGTATTTACCAACAAGCAAAACAACCATTGCTTGGGGTTCCCCATCCACGAGGGGCCCAGCGCTTCGGAAAAAAATGCATTAAGTATTGTGTGACATATAATGTATTTCATGTAATAAATATTATGTATAAAATATTTTATATAAATATATTAGTTTTCAGCTGTATATGTACTGAAAGTATTTGTTTTATAATAAGTTTTAGAATAAGTTAACGGCCCCATAATACTTAAATCTGGCCGTGTTTACAAGTGATGGCTGACATGAATTAACGGACAGAAGTTGCAGGATTATAATTTTACGTAATTGTTACAGATGCGAGAAAGTTCGTGCTGCTACAGCATCGCACAAGTTTCGTATTATTTCATAAATCGTTGAAAATTCTTGAGTAATTTGGTATTGAATAGCTTTAAACAATTGCTTGAGTTCCAGAATGAATCACAGAAATCGAAGAATAAAGAAAATGGTCTCGGTAGATAATAGTTCACCACTTTTTAATGAAATTTTTGTTTGCGTGTACTATGTGCCGACTGTAGCAATTGTCCGATTGTGCTGAAAGTTTGCACTTACCATTTTCTTGCTGACTGAAATCGGAATAGGTGTGGGAGTAGAAACATTTTAACCACCGGAAATTACCCCATTTTTAAGGATCACATTAATATGTATTTGAAAAATGTGTTGAACTATGTGCACTAAATACTGCAATTGTTTTATATTTTAGGCTGTGAATAAAGAGGGGGAAATACTTTCAATGTCTTGACAATGGGACTGTATATCCGTTAGAAATTCTGTATTTTAGTACTAATACAACCAAAGAATATGCACAAACATATGTAGGTAATATCTAGTTTATTTTACTTTAGTTGCTGACAGCCTTGGGAGAAGAGGAGGCAAATTCTGGTATTACGTCAATGATAAAGGAAGAATCCGCCAAATGGCAGAGTATTCTACAGTTTATAACGGCTTATCTCTCACATTTTTCTGGGGCTGCTGCAGCGTTAAAAGGTATTTATCATCAATCAAATTTGAATTGACTGCTAAATTAGAATGGTTGCATACTCAGTTGCACAATTGTATATATACTTGTAGATATCAGAATTAACTGATGACAATGTTAGAAATGTTTTAAGAAAATACAGGCGTTTAAAATTGCGATATTTATACACGTGACAGAGAAGATGATGTTATTTTTGCCCTATAATTTTTACTCCTTCCATCTGTGGTTCATGCAGTGTGAAACTGCTAAGTTTGTATTTAAGACTTATAGACTTATATGTGTCAGTTAACTTGTTTCTGACTAACTGATTTGGTATTTTGCATTTCTATAGCCTATGTGGATGATTGTTTAGTACGAGCTTTGACTAAGCAGAGTTATTCGCTGTTGGCTTGTGCTTTCTTAGTAGCACGCCAAGCTTGTCTTAACTCTGCTATACCTTCTGTACGGAATGCGTTTCCATCATATGGAGTATGGTTTGCATCTGCATTTGGTACAGAGGCAGGCTCTGTTCAAACTTCAACAAATGCTGCCACATTTTCCTTCTTAATGGAGTTTCTCACAGAACTCGTTCCTACTGAGCCACCGTTTTGTCTAAGAGTTCATATCAATAAAGTAAGTTACTTAACGTGCATGTAACAACATTACTTTACATGCATGTGAATACATTGTTTAAATGTAATATTTAAGGGAAAATATAATATTTCAGAATTGATGTGTTCTCTCATGTGTGTTTTAGAATATAAATAATATTTCTCATTTTTTTATCTGTGCCAAGAAGAAGCTTTTCATTATCTTGTAACTGTTTCCTGTAGGTTCCTTCTGCCCCTGTGCATTGCAGTCACTTATTGACTGATTATGTTTCCTTAGCTAAAACTCGCCTGAAAGATTTAGGAGAAGCTACAGGAAGTGGACTATTTGCCTTTGAATATGTAAGTTATTTTATTATTTCGTGAAATTTTTATTTTCCTCATGTAACGGAACATAAGTCCAGTTGACTTTTGAAATTGTATATGAAGATTATATATGAGAATATTGGAATATCAGTAATCAATTGCCATGTAGTCAATATTATTCATAGTGTTGCCGTTATGCAACCTTCAGGTTCCCTTGTACATGATTTTGGGAAAGAAGTTCCTCTAGTGATAATGAATTATTAGTTATAACTGAAGTTAACAAGCCTAGTTCCAGTATTGTTATGGGTAGTCAATGCTTTCCAGAGGATGGACTTACCCAGACTTCACCTCCCTCCCATGTATTTAGGTCACCTACAATAATTAAAAACTAAATCACCATTTGATAAATTGACAATTTAATCAATTATTGATTTAATGTTGGACATCTAAGTTTCCTAATCATCATATGTTTTGTGTGTTTCCAACAGTTCACAAAAAGAATCCCTAGTTTTGTATCTGCCCTCAAAATGATTCTGGCACAGTATCTGAACTTGTTAACTAATCTGTCTCTGCAATCACGAAAGTTAATCAGCACGAGACACCGTGGGTTCCTGAATGGGTGGCCGTGTGAGAACCCCGGATACTAATGTCGCTGAGTCCCTGGCCAATGGAGATAAAAGGCAATGGCTTAGATTTAACTTTCCGACTTATGTTCAAGGAGGAATACTCCACGTTTAACCCCAGAAAGGCTTCCAACGTTGTTATGCAAGTAACTTAATTTAAAAAGGAGAAAAGGAGCATCTACTAGTTCTAGCAACATGTAGTGTAAGTGTCCTCGCCTTTTCAGAACACACTTTCTGATCAATAGGTACGACAGTTTCCCTGGATTACTCATTGAATCAGTTTAAATTGTAGTGTCTGAATTACATGTTACAGCACTTATTTTATATACACTATTGATTGCAGTGAATGAAACATGTACAACTCTTTCCTGGTATTTGGGTATGTTGGTATAGGTTTTATCAATAATGCATTTTCATGATATTCTGAAATTCGTGTAGCATGAAATATAATATATATATATATAATGATATATATAGTATGTATATATAATATCATATATATTATATAGTATAATTATATATATCATATATATATATAGATATATAATATATATATACCCGCACACCTTTTCGAAAATTACAATCAGCAATGTGGTCTAAAATATGTATAGTAAACTTATTGGTTATTTTTTGTGTTGCCCATTTCCATTTTAGTTATCATAAGTGTACATATGATGCTAATATTTCCTTATTTCTATTTTGTATTCTTTGGGAAGGTTAAATTCACCGTTCTTAATCGATTATAACTTTTTATTTCATCGTAGACACCAAAAGAAGATGTTGCTGCTGCATTGTTGAACTTTGAGAAATCTGGTCAAATTAGTCGTGTGCTTCTTGATTGCTCCAAGTTCCGCCGCACACAATTTGAACAGCAATTCTTGCCTGCTCTTCTTGTCCCAGAGCCAGTGGGTGAAGAGATTTCTACACGTCAACGCTTGATTACGAAATTGCAAATCCTGGGGAAGATCCCTTCTACCTTGCTGCAAAAGTATGAGAAGGCTTGCCATGACATCTCTTCTAAACATTCTGGTATTTCAGTCATTTACCGTTTTAATTTGTGATATCTGTTTGTTGTTTTTCCCCCTAAATTAGTCATAATATATCTGGATTTTGAGTGTGCCTGCCAAATGCGTCAGTTTTGTCAGACATTCATTCTTCATAATTTAACAATTTTAGATATTACAGATTAGTTTATGCTATTCTATATTTACAAAACGGTTATACAAAGATTTTGTTTCCACATTATTAAAATTAACAATTTATAAATATGCCGTTCTAATTTGTTTGTTTTTTCATGAAAAGTTTGAAAAATATTTTAAATCTTTTTTCCATCTTTCATAAAATATTTTAGAGTATTTTTGAAAAAGAGGTAAGGGAGTTTGTGCACCCTCGAACGTTAAAGCACTTGTGCTTTCACTCTTCTCACTTAAGTGCATCTGCGCATGCTTAGAAGATCGATAGTGCCGTTCGCAATGGCGTGCACAAACTCCCTGTTATGAACGTTTTGATCTTAGTGTTATGGCTCCTATTGATTACGTTGATATTAATTTATTAAACATAGGACATTCAGTGGAACCGTATTATAAGAGTACGAACAGATTGTCTCCTGGAGGCGGGGACTTGTAACTTAAAAATGGTGAAATAAATATCACTATCAGGTCACTATCATCATTCAGGGTAGCCTCATCAGAGGCGGTTCTTGCATGTGTTTGTGAGAAAAAAGGTGTGTCTACAATGCATGAACTATCTGAAGAGAAATGTACAACAAATTACAATACTTGAGTTGACTTGCGATGGGATAAGAGAAATACCTATCAGGTCGTTTTATCTGTGGCTTCAGTCAACTCACATGTTAAGATTATTACCGGCTGCTCTGCCCTCGTCTGATACTTGCTGGAGGAGTGACGTTACTCACCGCCCATGACACGTTCATCTGTTTAAAAAAGAAGCCAATAGATGGTAGGAAGGATATTCTCTCTTCGTGCCACATAGTTCCATTTAGGCACTAAAACTGTGAGGTCCTGCCATGTTGAAACCTTTATTAACCGCTACAACGTACGGCGTAGCGTGAATCAGTTTCACTGTTCAAATTTACACGTCGCTCAGTGTGATTCTCAGCTCGAATTTTCGTCACCTTGCATCACTTGGAAGATTCTCATGTTTTAGATTTGTCTATCTGCTATTTGAATCCCAGTCCATTTGACAAATGCATTTCCGAAAACAGGAAAAGATGAAACACCGTTCACCGTTCACCCTCTCTCTCTCTCTCTCTCTCTCTCTCTCTCTCTCTCTCTCTCACACTTTCTCTTTCTCTCTCTGTCTGTCTGTCTCTCTCTCTCTCACTTTCTCTTTCTCTCTCTGTCTGTCTCTCTCTTTCTCTCTCTGTCTGTCTGTCTCTCTCTCTGTCCTTTTTTTTTACGTGGGCAGTGGAAAATCTTCTAAAGACACTGCGGGGCCCGCAACCCGCAGCGTGTGGGAGTCATAGCTAGCCTATGCCTACCCACTAAAAACCCCCTCCCTTTCCTCCTATTCCTTCCCGCAGAACCGCCGTCAGGTATTGCATCGCGAGAAAGGAAAGGATGGGCTTTTCGCACTTCACCGACTATTACGGGACAACTTCGTACTGCTCTCGGAGCGGAGCGTCTTCAGGACCTTTGCGGCATAGGTGGCTAACGCGCACTCCAGCTCTTGTGTCAGCAGCATCTGAGTGACGATGGTCTCAGGGGTCCACTTCCCTTGAGAGTCTGTGCAAGTTCTTCCTTTCCACTGCCGAAGCGTGGACAATAAAAGACACGTGTTCTACATCTTCAATCACCGGGAACGACCTTGGCATAGAGGAGCTAGTCGTCCAAGCGGAATCTGAGCTGATACTCTCGCTAACACCATGCCCTGTCAGCACTGAGTTCGAATAAAAATCTAATTCTCCATGTTCCTCTTGGATCCACGTCATTGATGTCATGACCGAAATGTCCATGACGCCCCCAGTTGATTGCTCTAACTCGTGTTGCCATTGTCACCCCCTCCTTCTTTTCGTAATGGTTTTCCAGTTTTGAAAGCCCCCTCCCGCTTGCGCGAAATGTCTAGCTCTCTCCTGCGCAATGAGGTCGTCGAGGCTATCTACTAACACACACACAGATCATAAGTCGGGTGCGAAACGCTCGAGCAACGGCGCAATGACGGACTTCCTATGCACAAGAACTTAGCCAACGGGCGTTGGACTGAATTGCATGGCATCAGCCAAAATAGGGGCTGCGTAGAGAAAGAATGGAATTTACTACGCTAATGTCGAGCAAGCTCCGTCTTGCCCTCTTTGCCAGGAACCCCTACTTAGGCATAATGCGTGCCAATGCGGATGCGATACGAGATGCTGTTCTCGGAGACCATTGCGCAGTGCTCGTCAAAGCGCAGTCTCGCGTTCAATATGGACTCCCAAATACTCAGTGACAGCTGCGAGGATATTTTTGCAGCCGCTACATTAAGATAATACTCTCTCTCACTTTTCTGCCGTCACCAGCAGCAGCTCTGTTTTATGGGCGGCCATATGTAGCCTACCGACGTAAGCCCGCCGGATCTTCGCCACAGCTCGTGGCAACCTGCGTGACTTGTTCGATGATACTTTGCCGACAACGACAAGTTGCAACATCGTCAGCGAATCCAACGTTCTTGCGCCTTCGGCACTCGAGCTTTCAACAAGGCGTCATACATAATGTTTCCACAAACATGGAACCAAGTACCGAGCCTTGTGGGACAAACGCCTGTGACAGTATAGATTTGTACTCCAGCACCAGTTTTCATATAGGAGGATCTCTCCTTAAAGTAACTATTTACCGAAGTTGAAGATGTACTTGGAACTCAAAGAGTTTGTAGCGCAGAAAAGAATGGAGCTCCATCCTTGCAGTGTTAAAGGCGTTTTTTTCACGTCTAAGGGGTCACTATAGCACAATACTTCATAGGACCGCCTTTTCATCGTTTGCTTCAAATGGCCTTATCCGTGGATGTGCGGATGACGTAGCTTAATTGCATCTACGTGGATCTCGCTTTTCTAAAGCCGTAACTGATTATCAGACAATCCTTGATGGCCTCTCTGTAATGACTCAATACGATTGCAGATAAATCCGCTCCAGTAACACTTTGCCTGCTGTGTCCGTAAGCATATTGGCCGATAGGCTGCCGGGATCAGTAGGTGCCTTATCGCCCTTCGGAAGAAGGACGTAACTGTTGCTGCTCCATCGACGGGGGAAATTCCCCTCCGGTCGTATGGCAGTGCATTATATGCCTGCAAGAATATGATCGGGCCGAGTCTTAAATAGTGGTCTTTATATGCTACATTTGGGACCCCATCTAATCGGGGGCTTTGGCAATCTTTGACCTTGCCGCAGCTCTAAAGTTCAATCACCGTGACTGCCGGAAACTCGCTTAGATCATGCAGACATCTTCGGTTGGTACATATCTACTGGCGAGAAACAAGGTACTACAACTTGTCCAAGAAAATCGGCAAGTGGGTGGTCGCTGAACTACCCTGAGTCTGGCTGTTACACTTATACGGCGGCCCCCAGGGTCAAGTCAACCTCCTCCCCTAGCTCTCTCCAGCTAACGAACTTACTAAATCTTAATGGCTTTTTTTGTGAAAGTCTTCTGGCGTCTGTGTCTGTCGTGTCTTCTGTTCTCTGTCTGTGTCTGGTCTTCTCTGTATCTCTGTCTGTGTCTCTGTCTTTGTCTGGTCTCTCTCTGTCTCTCTTAGTAACATGAAGGCTAGCTCATTCACTGGACATGGATACTTTTGTTTTTCCACCACTTGCACACGCAGTTATTATTTGAGAAACACTTGAAACAAACTTGCGATAACTGTGGAACACTTAAATTCTTTTGTGATTGGCTTAACAAATATTTCGATTTTATAATCTTAAAACGAAAAGAATGTACGTACGTTGTTAAACACAATATACTACTACACTAAAATATTACCTGTTCAATATTATCTTCACACCTCGCATAATGACGTGCTTAAAGCAGGTTTCTTGTAGCTTCATAGTAGTGTGTCCAAGATGGCAAATTGGAATACCCAAATATCCAGGTCCTCGAGCTCTGCTAGCGCTCTGGAAAGACAGGTATTCTGCGCGTATTCGCGCCTCAGTTGGCTTGTGTTGTGTGGCGACTTGCGTTAAAACAATGTTCAATAAAGTAATGCTGATTTGTTTGTATAAAAGGTAACTATTTAGATTTTATACTAGATATCGTTGATACACGTGGATATTGTAACCACATGAACCGTGGGGCTGCCCCGACTCACCTGATTACCTGGTTACTGAGATTCAGCGGCTGCTCAGTCCGTAGACTCTTTAAAGGGAGGCATGCGCGATAGGGCTTATTTTCGTTCTAGTACTGCATTGAAATAAATGGTATTTTCAAAGATGGATTTAATGTTCCCTCTTTCATGACGTGAAGCTTCCCGTTATAATTACTCCTTAAAATTAGCTTACAACTAATCTTAAATTCGGCTGTACGGGCCAGAGTTCATTCTTCGAAAACGTTCTTCCTTTCTCTGGCGGTCACGACCCCGGTTACGGAAGTGGTGGCCCTTCGCCCTGGTGTTTGGCGCGGTGCGGTCAGGTGGCGGCGGGGTCTTGCCGCTCCCCTTTGCCTAATAGCAAGGCGGCGGGCATCGAGGAGGCGCCCCGGGCGCTAGCAACGCTTGGCCTGGGCATCGGCGGCGTGGCTCACGGCCACGGTGATTGCTCCTCAGCCCGTCGTCGGTTCTGAGCCTCGAGGTCGGGCATCCACATTGCCCGTAGCGTTCGTCCTTGGGTTTGCGACCCCAGAAGAGGTCCGCGATGTGTGGCGATGATGCATTCGGGCGGCGGCGCGGCAACGATGCGGTAACGCATTCACTGCCGTCCCCTTAGAAGCCAAAGAAACTCGCCCTTGTCCCTACCTCGGAAAGGCACTTCTGCTCGCTGTCGCCTCTATCGGAATGACCGAGCTTCTGTGTTGCAGCTACCTTCTCAGGTTCGTGGTTCTCCCCCGTGTGTGTCTCCCATGCTTCGTTTTCCGCGATTGGCGGGCGCGCGTCATGCGGCTTCTTTCGCCCAATCGCGGCGTTCTTGATGACCGTTTGAGATTTGCCAAATTCCATTGAAACTCAAACGTTGCCCGAGTTCCAAGAACAGGTGCAGCTGAATTGTCGGCTTATGAGACAGCGTCCCTATTTCCCTGTGAGTCAGCGGAGGCGTTGTGGGCGCGCTTCTATAGAGACAATGAAGCTGCACCCCACATCCACCCCCTCACAATTCGGCTTCCGCCCTGACCGATAATCAGCTCTGCAGACATTCCACCTTGCCATTAACATCGCCACAGAACTTCGTAATAAAACCCGCCAGACACCTGCTCTTTTCACCGATCTGTCCTTTGCTTTCGACAGAATCAACCACCAAATTCTCCTGTTCAAATTAAAATCATATCTTCCGACTTTCGTAACAAATCTATCAAACTATCTAGCACACAGAACTTTTAAAACAATGCATCTCTCACACTCCCCCCCTTCTCGGCGGGCGTTCCACAAGGTGCAGTTCTTTCTCCCTCCCTCTTTCCAGTCTATCTAAATGATCTTCCCTCTTGTCGCGGCATTCAGCAATTTCTTTATGCAGATGACCTAGCCCTTCTTTCACCCCACCGTTTTTCTCAACGGTCCATCAACAACCTTCAAAATGCAGCCCACACAATTTCACTCTGGTTCCAAGAATCGACTCGATCACTATAAATCCTTCTAAATGCCTGTCATCTTCACTTGTCGAACCATCCCACCTCCTTTCCCTCCCATCACCATCAATAGCACTCCTATCCAATGGTCCTCACAAATAAAATATCTCGGTATCACTTTCAACTCCAAATTAACCTGGACCGCCCATCTCAACACCACAATTTCTAAGGCAAACCCAAAAATCAACTTCATCCAACCCATCCTCCGCCATCTGTCCCTCTCTGTCAACAAGAAACTCCTCCTATACTACACCCACATCAGATCCATCATTACATATTCCTCTTCCACCTGATCAACAATCCCCCACTCCACATATAAGAACCTAAAAGCTCTTGAAAACCGCGTCATCCGCCTTATGGTTCATCCTCTTCTCAGTCAAAACTACAACACCTTCCGAACACAACACAATATCCACCCACTCCCCCAATATATCTTCAACATCCCGAGACACTGTACAGAAATTCATAAACAATCCCATCTTTACCCACCGCATTCAACCTCGCCAACATATCAACTTCCCCCCGCGTCATTCCCGAAAAAAGCACCTCTTAGATATCCTTCAACCTCCGACCTAAAATGACCCAACAAATTAAGACACATGAAATGCCACGACAAATCCCTCAACAAAATAACCCCTCAAAAAAAAAAACAACAAAAAAAACAATTTTCTACCTCCTCAAACCCCTAAGTGCACAACATCTCGGCTCTCTTTTCATACTCTTCTCTCCTCCCAACTCAAACTACCTTTTACGAAAAAAGTGTGAATACCAAACTAGTCCTTGTCCTACCCACCCCAACCCTCGGGGAATGGGAGGCAGCTGGCCAATCCGAAATTAGAATGAAAATCCAGGACAGTAGAGGAGACAGATCCAGGCCGTCCACACCAAGATGTACCACCTTCGACAAGGCTGCATGCCTCCACGTCCCCGACGCTTCCTACACCCTCGCGGGAAGCAAACGATGCACTTTTCCAGGTCTCCTTACACAGCAACGTTACATTGAATAAAATGTTGAAATACCCGTCGCAACCTGACGCATGCTACCGTCTAATTACAATATTTATTTTCTCTTCAAAGAGAAACAAATTTCATTGTACCTAAAATTGTTTGTACTGACAAGGACTTAACATTGAAATACCAGTACTTACCGTGAAACCAAAAAGGTAATATTTTGACATTACTTAAATGCGGCAATTATTTCAGTTATTAAAAAACAAATCATTGTAAATAATAGGGTATTTTCATTTACAAATAAATACTACGTTTATGTTTTGTTGCCCAATTTGTACATTAATATTATCACACATGGATACTTTAATAAGTTATGAAACGTAAATAAAATTACATAATTTAAGGGTTTCTCGAAAAAAAATGTTTAAGGAACAGATTTGATTAAGGGAGAAATCTCAATCTTAATATTTTAGGTGTAGGAGACTGAAATAATTTTGAACTTTGCAATTTTCGAAAAGTCAGTTTTTTTAACGAACAGAAGGCCTGCACCATTTTCTTAAACGTCCTTCACACTATCAAAAAAATTAATCAAAAACAATGGAGCCATTTGTTTGATGATTTTGAAAATACCCCAATAGCTGCATGTAAAGTACCTCCCAAAGTTGAAATATTGGTTCAACGTTTCACGGGCCACGACAACAAGTTCAACGGGCCACGACATCAGCCAGATCGACTGGGTAATATCAGTTTAGGATAAATCGGCTGAACGGTTTAGCCGATAGGTGTACATAAACAGTTTTGCCATCATTCGATTTTTCGGCATCGAGAATCCACTAAACTCACGGAGTCAATAACACATTTTTGAAATTTTAATTAAACAGGAATAGTCAATTTTTTGTTTCGGTCCTATTTGATTTATTTTAAAAACCAAATAAATTATTTTATTTCATTTTTTCAGTTGTTAAATTTATATATATACATATATATATATATATATATATATATATTATAATATTGTACGTTTTCTCCGTGATTGAATTACAAACCACTCGTAAAATTAACAAAAACGTTTATTTTTCATCTACAATGCTACATCTTAAAATAGTTGATTTATTTACAGGTAGATTTACATCAGTCATTGTGTTCTTCACTTGATTATTTTCCTTACACACGACTCTGTTCTCTTGATTATTTATTTACACATTTCACTTCCTCTGATGATTTATTTACACTGATCACTTCTTCTACAGTATAACCCAGTCCGATGCATTGCCCACGGTCCACTGCGCTGAACACAATTAACACCGCAGACCAGGGTCCACTGCATTGCTGTTTACCGCGATGCACACTTCACAGTCAGCTTCCACTGCTGACTGCTGTTCACCCACTGCACCACTGTTCACCGCAATGCACACTTTACAGCACAGCTTCCACTTCAGACACACTGAAGGACTGACTGTTTACTACTTGAACTGACTGTTTACTACTTGACTGATTACATGCACTAACTTACTCGCGGCTGCTTACTTCCGACTACTACTTACTGACGGCCGCCGGCAGCAGCGAATTTATACCTGGCAGGCGCTCGCCTTCGGGAAAGTGCGCAACACTTCTACGCGACTCGCGAATAACTTGGAACCGTCCAGTTCGGGGGAGGGGGGCGCCTGCAGATAACGCAATCCCCACGGCGAATTCCGGCAGGTGATGCAATATTCGTTACAATATTTTCAAACTTCTAAGAAATTCCGTATTTCATAGTTTATTTAATGAAATGTGAAATAATCATTCTTTACTTTCATTACATTACATTTCCAAATACCTCATTGACATCTACTCTTTATTATTCCTGTTGATTCGGAGTGAAATGTTCTCATCTATTTATGTACAGGGCAGCGGAAATTGCCAATATCTGGCTCTCCACTGGAACGCTGGCAAGCAATACTGGAGTTGTTGGTGAGCACTATGCGAAATAATGGTGTTGACGAAAAAGGAACTTTAACTGATGATGGAAAGACGGTGCTCTCTGCACTAGGTGCTCAATTAGAGCCACTATTGTATTGGATTGCTGAACAATCTGACCCAGGGAGCTTACAACGAAAGGTGAATTTATCTTTATTACAGTATTGTTCTCTGTTCATTCATATTACTTATTAGAAAAAGTCAGTCGTTAATAACAAGTATGAAAATAATTATTTTTCAACAATTCTCAATAGTCAGGGACACGTTCACTAAAATACAAACACTTTCCGCCGCACGTCAATATTTCTCGGAAACGTTTTCACATTACTTCAGGGCGTGACTTTACTCTTGTCTTTAATTGTCAGAGGGCTTTTCACCAGGTCATTGCTTCATTTTATTTGTGACAACTGCTGTTGTGAATCTTCTTTTGTTTTGATGCCTTTTATAACCTTAACATAACGGTATGTATGGCAATACGTGCCTAACCCTTTGTGGTGTTTTAAGTGCCGAAGGGTCGGTCATACACAACAGTGGTGTATGGCAGGTAGCCCGGTGTCCGGAAAATCGACACACGAAGCTGAACCGTGCGCTACACTACCGCATTGTGTAAACTGCAAAAGTTACCATCCGGCTAACTCCAAGCGAAGCCCTTTCTTCATGATGGAAAGAGAGTTCGAAAGATCATAGTCGCTGAGGTGCCCTTCCCCGAAGCCAAACGTGAGTTTCAAGCATGAAACTATATCTTTTCCGATCGTATTCTAGCGCCCTGAAAGCCAAGACTCCGAAGGTAGCAGCGAGCTGCCAACTGAACGAGATGCTCCCCCGTCAAGTCGTGAACATATTGTGTGAGGTGTGTCTAGTGGACCTTCATGTGAATTCCTCCACCTGCGAGGCGGGAGAGTGATTATTCCAACCAAATTCAAAGTACACGACAGAAAAAGCTCAGCTATCGCAGCCGACCATATCGTTATCTAAGCCTCTGTCAATGAAAGTCAATGTCAGTCAGATCTCCGCCTAAGACCCGATCATTAAAAGCTCGTCATCAAAGCCCCGAGTAACTACAATTCGCACTACCAAATATTCTGATGCGCACGTCTGCATCACTACTTGCATAGCAATCCAGTCCTTTACTTGGGAGTAAATCAGCTTCCATTCGCCGACTCTGCCAAGTTCTGGGGCTTAGGTTTGACTAATCCCTCACGTGGCGTGCTCATTTCCGTAGACTACACACCTGATGTATTTCTCTGCATGATCTGCAAATGCTGAGTGGAACGTTATGGGGAGCCGACCGCACTACCCTATTGCGGTTTTATAGAGCACTCATCCGCTCAGTTTTGAATTACGGTTGTAAAGTGTATGGCTTGGGAGCCATGCTTAAAAAGAAGTTGTAATTTTCTATTAGCGTTTTATGATGTTAAAGTGTCAGGGCTCTTTAATCATTCTTGACGCCAAATAAGTATCATCCTGAATATGAGACTTCATATATTCTTCAAACGTCGCTGCCTCAGCCTTCAGAGATTTGATTGCGAAATCTTTTGTGGGACCTTAATGTCGTCTTTCCCACCCCCGCGAAATCCCCCAAGTTACCTCCTGCTCCGCCTCAATATTGACCTAAAGCTCTCCAATCTTGCCAAACTACTAAACCTCTTGTTTACCAGATGCTTTTTCAGGAAATGAGGGTAGCCTAGTGACATACATTCTTATACACAGATGGCTCATCGTACAATGCCACAGTGTCATGTAGTTTGTATTGTATCAGTTGCTCCAAATCATATCAGCTTCATTTTCAGTGCCAAATTTCCATTTTGCCAAATCATTGCCAATTATATCAGCTTCATTTTCAGTGCCAAATTACCATTTTCACTGCCAAATTGTATGCAATTCTCGAAGTCCTAAAATACATCGAGTTAGCGTTCTTATGCCGAACAGTTTTCTTTTCTGATTCAGCTCTCTTCAAGGTATCTCCAATTTTTCCTCAAACTACCTGACAGTTCAAAATCTAGGTCAACGCCTTCTTCCCCGCCTCTATGATCTGGTACTTAGTTGCAATGGGCCATGTGGGAATCACAGCGGCGGCGAAGAAGCGAGGTTTGCGAGCCGCGGACTGTGCGCGCTACCGCAGGTAATACATTTTGTAACGGGAGTTGAGGAGGCAGAGCCACGAGTGATAGAGCAACAGCAGAAGGGCTACAGCTCTAAATTTGCATGATCACGTAGATTGTCGTACGAATTATATCACGGCAAATAACGGGAAGAGAACCTTTTAAGACAGTAATACAGTTCATTCATGTGTTATGTGTACGGAAAAGTTATTGTAAATAGCCGTGTAAAACATTTGTTTATCATTTCTTTGTAAAATTTTCAAGGAAATAATTTGCAGTATGAATACCACGAATACATCTGAAGCTCAGTACAAGCTAAGTTTGAGATCACATCGCAAGCTCAGTACAAGGCCGCCCTGGGCGGCGGTGGCCCTGGGTTGCGGCGTTTACCAACGTTCTCCATACCGTCAAATATAGCATCAAAAATGTCAAGAGCGCATGCGGGAACTGCCTAATGCTTTTAGATGGAGAACATCGACATGCTCACTTTGGGTCGGGTTGCACCACCTATTTCTCCGACTCTGTTACCAGCTTCCTGTCTTTATTAGCAACAGCTGAGTGTGCTCAATGCAGGACCGCGCGCCTGCGCTTGCCAGTGTACCATTTAAGAGACTTTTAAAAACCAAGCTTAGTTCTCAATGGCGAGAGTGGTGATTTCAAAATATATTAATTTCATTTTACTGTATTCTCCAGGGGAAGCGCAGCATACCTAGCTTACCTGGGATGTTGTGCCACTGTTTCTGGTAGTTGTAGTCAGACAGGAACGACGCCCACCTTTGAAGTTTCTTCGCTGTGTATTCCGGAATTATCTTTCGAGGGTGGAACAACCCCTCCAGAGTTTTATAGATCTGTTATGATGTTCATTGGCGAAGTGTGATGTTAATTTGTGGATAAGCTGAGTCACGAACATATTGTAAACACATACTTAATTTGTGAAATATAGAATATTACGAAGCTAGAGAACAGAAGACTACAATAATAATAATAATGATACTAATAATGATAATAATGATAAAGATGATAATAATGATAAAGATAATAATAATAATAATAACAACAACAATAACAACAATAACAACAACAACAATAATAACAATAACAATAATAATATTAGTAGTAGTGATGATGATTATGATATGAATTCAATCATGCAACCATGCTGAAATCAAGAATAATTCCTTGTATATTTCCCATCCTTTTGTGAAATATTTAATTTTGGTCTGGATATGTTTTCTTTCAATTGCTCATTTAGTTCAAAAGCCAACACCACAACTGAATTACTCAACAAAAAGTTGACTGAATCAAATGAGTCTGTATTTGATTTAGGTTGTGGGGAGATTATTAAAGGCCTGTGAATTCTGCTTTGAGCCGCCAAAACCCCCTGGTTTAAAAAAAACATCAAACTGGCTGTACCATCTTGTTACTCATCTCAAAGCTCACCCTGGTTTGTTGAGGCAATTACATGGAGCTGTTTATCGCTTAGCTTGTGATATTACTCGGATGCCGCACGTGGTGAGTACTTCCGGTTAATAGAGTGGCAAATTCCAACCATGATTCAATGTATCTGCAGTTCTTCATTTAAAACGATTATGTTTAATGGCATACAAATTCTTTATTGAAAGTACATTCTAAATGATTGATGAATGAAGCTTTTTTTTTCAAATTGATGTAACTTTTCAGACAGAAGCTGCAGCAGCATTGGCATATGTTTTGGACTTTCATAAAGATAATATTTCTATAATTAAACCCCCAGTCTCCCTCGACAGTGAAAAGTTGGGTGAGACAGTTGGACGGTCTCTGCAGCCTATTTGTCGGAAAAGTATGGTTCATGGTCTGGTGTTCTCATCTTCCTACTTGCGGCTTGTGGATGAAGCGTGTGCTGAAACGCTTCCATTGCCAAAGTGCTTGCCATCTCTTCTGCGAATATTCATTTATTTGCGTGAGCGTCTACTGCACAGCAGTGACGAGGAAGTTCTGGAAATTTGTGCGCACACGTGGACTCCATCTTCGTCATGGACTGTACCCATATTGGAATGCCAGGTATGTTCAATTTTGACGCAACCAGAGATTCCACTGTCAATAAAGTAACCTTGTAATCCAAAGTGTTTTTCAAAACGTCCATCTGCCTGTCTTGTGTATGTGAACAACACAAGTGCCTAAACTATTCGTAGACATTTTTCCAAACTTAGTAAACTGCTGATGATCTGTCCTCACTTGAAACTCGGGGATTTTGAACGCCATTCATTAAATTTTGGGGGTACTTTACATGAAGCCCTTGCAAACTTTCAAAATTTTCTGAAAAATGGTCCTAATGTTTTTCTTTAAATTTTCAAAGGTATAGAGTGAAATATAATACAACTTATAAACGCTGCATATGTCCGATTTTCACTGTGAACTCTATATTTTGAAAATTGCATAAGTTTGAAGTTTTTCGGCGTTTTCCTTTAACTACAAAATTGAATATAGAGATTTTTCCTTGAAGTAAAATTTGTCTTCCCCCAATTAGTTCTTTCGTTGAGGTCGTGTACAGTTTTTAAAAAAATTAGTAGCAGTATCGCAGTATTGCGTATAATGTTAAAATATGCAATATTAAAAATTTATAAAAAAACTTTCTCAAGAACAGCTCCAACGTTTTTTTAAAAGTTTTTTGAAGGGTAGTGCTAAATGTTTTCTATAAGATGACATAAAGGTCATTCTACTTTATTCTTTTTTTTGTTTTTTCACAAATTACAAAAATATATTTTTTTACTTCTAACGTCGTTAATATTTACATTAACAGCAATTTGTTTACATTATTAGATTTATGAGTACAAGTGCTTTAAATTATTTCTAATAAAGTTTCTCAAAAACGCAAAAGTTTTCTGTGAAATTAAGCTCAAATTCCGCATATTCAGAAACGGTCGAAAGCCATTGTCGAAAAACATCTCTTTTTTTTTTCTTCAAATTTTTTTATGGATAGTGATAATTGCACTGTTTAGGGCGACATAAAATTTATTTTGCTGTATTGTTTTGTGTTTTTTTAATTTCACGAATGTAATATTTTAAAATATCTCTCTCGCCTTTAATAAGCATATTTCCAGCGATTTGTATACATTAATGCATCTATGAGTGGAAGTGCTTCAAATGACTTCCAATAAAGTTTTTCGAATATTCTTTTCTGTGAAAAAGAACTTCCAATTTCGCATTTACAGTAACACTTAAACGTCATTTTCTTAAAAACGCCTCCAAAGCTTTCAACGAAAATGTTCATGTAGGACATTGTGCATTCTTATAATATTCTTAAAGTACTATTTCTGTTCTACCATTAGAAAAACGAAAATTAAGATAAGGTGACATAGATGGCAAGTCCGAAAAACTAGTCCAGACCAAATAAATTAGAAAACGAACTAGTACGATGCTGTATGTGCCATTCTGTAACACCACTAGTTTTTTAATGAAATCTATTCTTCAAAATTAAATCTTTAAATTAGGTCAAGTGCAATTATTTTTCGTAGTAGTTTTCTCTCAATTTTACGTGAAATATTGGCGGTTTTAGAAACTGTTTTCCCAAAAACTGTTGCTACTGCTGTCGTTTTTGAACCTTATGAATTGTTAGAGCTAAATACATGGAAACACATGAAACAAACGTCATTGCGATGTAATGTCTTTCGCCGCAGGTGTGATCAGCCATGCTTACTAGCAATTACAAATGCTTCCAGTACAGGATGCAAATAAGTTGAGTTCGCAGGGAAGTTAAGACCCCTGGGGGAGCGTGATGGTAAGCGAGGTTTCATGTACAGAGACAGTCCGATGAAGTATGAAAATAAGTTTAATAAAAAAAGAGCTACAGAACAGCGTGAAGTTGATACAACAGTGTCTCTGGAATGTATGTCCCGTTATCAACGCTAGAGGATCCTTTAATAGAAATCAGGGAAATTTATGCGGCCATTACGCCACTCCCGCCTGAACTCTACATGCCTTGGACGTAATAAACAAACATTATTGTCCCTGCACTTTGCCCTTTAGAGGTCACTTTCTCATAAGTTCTGATTCTTTCCATTTCCACAATCTGCCTCCTTGTTAGTGTTGACATCGGTTTTGGTACCCTCTCGTATATATGCTTAAGGTAAAGATAACCTTTCATATCTTCTGCTCCGAACGCCACCCCAACTCGGATAACTTAGAAAAACGATATTTCTTTCGCGTACTTGTTTGAGAAAAATATCCATTACTTCTCTAATCTGTATATACTCGTGTGCGCATATGCATTTACCGTTGCTATGTAACCTTGTAATTATTCAAAAATTACACAAATGACTTTTTGAATTGTGTAACAATATTACATTATGGATTAAATAATGCGAGAAAGTACGTGCTATTGCGCGGACAAGTTTTGATTTGCGCCAGAATAATGAAACAAAAAGGTTAATAAATTAATTTTCACCTTAAAAAATTAATATTCCGCCAAAGCTAAGGCACCCTAATTATTAATGTCTCGTGTATTATCAACGAGGGAATAGTTGCTGTTGACAGGGTATCTAAAAAAATTAAAATAAAACTTATTGTTTTGCAGCCGAGTTTGACTGAATGGTTGGATTTGGAAGCAGAAATAGATCGTACAGAGGATCCAGTCAAAATTCGACACCTCTATTTGTGCGAATGGATTACACAGCATTGCAACCAATGTCCAGCCCCTGAGCTCCTAGTTGCCAGTCTTGAATATATCACTAAGGTAAGAGATTTCGTAATCAAAGATACTTTGGTAAGTGGTCGCGAATGGTACTTTCCTCAGTTTATTATTAATTATGGTACAACAGGATCCACATTAACGAAGTTGTGCAAAGTTCAATAAGAGCTGTTCGAGGCTTGTCTTGTGTTGCTTGGGTTGAGTGTACTGTATTTTGATTAATTTGCAGAGCAGTCTCGAATCCCTTTTTCATGATATGTCGTACGGGGTATAGGATTTGTTTCCTGTTTCAGTCAGAAACAAACGATTTGCCCAAAACAATCTTGACAACACTTGTCACTGACACTAATAGGTGAATTCACAGTTTAGTTTGGTTACACTTAATACAGTTTACTTAACACTGTGATGTTCGTTATGTAACATTAAAGATTGCGCAAGAACAATTAAAATTGACTCGCGATTGACAAGGTATGTTATGTCCGTGTAATGAAATAATGCTCATCATAAGACTTCGAAATCTTGTAGCAATACACGCCTTACGCAAGAATTTACGCGACAAGACCGTATGACGTGCACAGAGCTTGGGACAGCGAAACACGTGCTCTTCGCGTAAGATCTAGTCCAAGACTTATAAATGTCGCCGATCTCAAGGGTCGCGAGATTTTGAGCGCATAACTTGTAAGCGAGGGTGTAATTCTTTAGCGATTCACCTATTGGTGTTGAAACTGATTCTGGAAGCTTCCAGAAACTTTGAGCCGTTGAGAGCGGTTAAGAATCGTTAGCAGGGCAAGTTCGTCGCGAAGGCCGTTCGGCGGTCGCTCGCGGACGTGCAGCCGTTGGCGGGGCGTTCAAAGAAATGAAAGTTCGTTCTTCAGTACATATGTTCATTTATATATGCATATATATGACGAGAACAAATTTGTATTAACATTATTCTCCGACCCAGTAGAGATTCAAACCGGGCCCAGAATTGAGCGACTGGTACGATGCAGGATAGGCTGGTTAATGCTTCGAGGTAGTGATGAGCGCCGCTATCTCTCTTTAGGGTGGCAATATTTCTTGTCAGATTTTAATTTGGGAAGAAAACAAAACGAGACGCAGGAGTGAAAACTATAGTTCGAATACATTTGATAGCACTGTTCAAACGAAAAATAGAGAGAGCACTCCATGACTTCAAAAACGAGGTATCAAAGAAAATGACACTGTCGTGGCGAACTAATTATGTTTGCGTTCACTCATTTTAACGGAGGAAGAAGTAGCAATAACAAGTTAGAAGCAAGACAAAGATGTGATTCCAATGCGTTTTCTGTAAACCAATCCCTTGTGAACTTACATTTTTTAAACTAAATGTAAAAGGAACCTGGTATATACCTAATCATATACCCATTGACACGTTTGAACGTAAGGACAAACAAAAATAATCAAGGACTTAAAAAATTGAATTCCGTTTCAATCCATGTCCAAGACTCACGATTTGTTACTTCAAATTCAAACGAGATGTCCCGCCTACGAGAGAGTGCCTACGAGAGAGGGAGAGAAAAAAGCGAAAACAAGTTTAGAAACAAGGATTAAAGATATAATTAAGAATACAGCTCGAAACACAAACCAACTTGCGAAAACCCTTTTTCAGCTGAAGTCAAGAAAGATATGTGCAAAAAGGCTATAGCAGAATAAGGGGAGGGGTAAAAGTGCCCCCAAGGACATCCATCACATAAGTCATTTGTTGTTGCATAGTAATAAGGAGTGTTGCGAAAACATGTTCCCGAGGGAGAATAATTTGGTGTTTTGCCGCACTAGGCATTAGAGAGTGTCTCAAACTGCCACCTATTTGAATTATGCCATACTTATCTCAGAAAGGATGAAGTATTTTTTAATTTTTAGTGTTTTCCCGTTTATTTGAAAGTGCGTTGTATTGAGCAGATACTAATTCTTTGTAAATTGATTTCACGATTAATAGAAGAGAATGTCGTAGCTCAGTCGTAAAGAGAGGGCTGACCCTTTTTGCCAATTCTGAAGGCCTGGTCCGACACTGGTAGATAAATCGAAAGCAATACGCGGTTTCCCGCGAAGATTAGCGATTAGCTATACGCTGTTTGCGGAGAAGATTGGCGAAAATCGGTTACAAACGGGAGGTGCCAATCTGGAGTACGGAAAAGGCCACGATCCATCCGTCGTTAGTAGCTACACTTCTGGATGTGACTCCCTGCGATACGAGGTGTCAACAGGGTTTTCTTTAGAAGAAATATGTAACCAAACCTCCACCTGGTTACAGAAAGTCTATTATGAATGAGAGAATTTGATTATTTGGGCCGTGCTTTATCCAGTGCAATACTACAGCACTGTCTGTAAAGAAATGCACAGATGTGACATTACAAAGCATAATAAACGTTCTGTGTAAACTTGGCGAGCAAGACTGGGAATGTTGGTGCCAGTTAAGGGTGGAAGCAGTGATTTTGATCCTATTAGGAAGCTTGCTTTTTTCTTGAGAGTTTTCACTGACTGCATTTATACAGAAAATACATGATCTTTGCTCAGCATCAGCGAAGCCTAAAATTATGCTGCTCGCCCCGATGAGAATCACATTACTGAAAAAAGCAGCTTTGTTAATAAAGGAACTTCCTTTAGTGATATTTACCACTGATGAAGCAAGTCTGGGGCTTGTCCCAGCCTAGCTTGCGTTCCCATAACAACTGAAAAAACTTTTAATTATTATTATATATTCGGAAATATATTCTGAATTCTGAATTTAAAATTCCCTCGCATCGTTTGACGTGCTATTACTTCGCAAAATGGCTCCTCCACGGTTGAAGATTCTTAGGATTTCTGTCATTGTTGCTGGTCGTGTTCATTGTATGATGTAGTTAATATTCTTATCAAAGGAAATAGATTTAAGGAAGGTAATAGATTTAACTTGAAACAAAAATACAACTATGTCTGATCTGCCTTTTACTTTAGGTCGTTTTGATCGCTCATTGTATTACAAAATTGGAAGCTCATTTCGATGCGATCATGGCAATCGTGTGAAATTATTCTTGCTTTTCTGTATAATGTTGCAGAAACTGTGACAGTTAAATGTATACAGGTTTGTTTCATTTCTAAAAATAAAAAATTACTACTGATCCCGACTATCGAAATTAATGCAGATATGTATCAAAAGTGCTTCGTTTGAATTGGTTGGAATTTTTCAAATTGTTCTTGTGGGACAGAAATTGCCATGTTACGGAGGTCGTTCGATAAGTATACTAAGTTCGCATACTAAGAGATGACGAAAGAAACTTCTGTGAATTTTAATTTAAAGCTACAACAATATGCGGTAATATTTCATTTTTGCAAGTCATTATCACTAGCTCATTGTTGGACAGCGTCTTGAACAAAAGCGTTTGCGAGTCAATGTGAAAGATGGATAGATAGGGATTATGTAAAAGATCATTGTTTTTCATATCGAAACAAGTTACTTGTCGAACGCCCCTCTTACGTACTGTTTCCAATGCGAGAAAGTATTTGCTGTTGCAGCCCCGCTAGTTTGCATTTAGAACACCGAATAAAATGGCATTAATCTGCTGTTGGAATATGTTTTCTATGCTCGCGGTGGCTATTTGTGCTGCAGAAAAATCATTTCGAAGCCCTGTGTTACTAGCATTCTCAAAAGAAGTAGCATGTAACCATCTTATTTTTCTTACCCACGATTTTACATGTCTCTTTTCAACATCGTCATTAGCGACCTCGGCTATAAATGACATCTAATTTTCAGATATTTAACAAAGTTTACTAAGGCCATGAGGCCCGCTCTTGCGTCTGACCACGCAAATTTCGCTACGCTTCTTTCACCAACTGGGAGAGAACGGAACAGGCGCCTGGGCACGAATCGGGCGATTTGAATTTAGCTCAGAGGCTTCATTAGAGCTTGATGATCTTTTAGTGCAGTAAATTTGCTAACATGGGGCAACCGGCTTTACTTCCCATCCGAAGGAAGGCGTAAAAAGAATTTTTTTTCGCCCCACGGCTTCGATCAGGGTTGAACCTGCGTACTTGGGAAAAACAGTCAGATACGCTAACCCTTTCACCATCGTCGCCTCAGATTCATAAGAACAAAAGAAAATCCCAAGTGCTGTCTTGATGTATTGAATAAGTTGAGAGTAAATCCACAATTTCAAGTGAGCTCATTTTCCGGTATATTCCTTTTTGTTACAGGAAAATGCTGCTTGGGGAAGTGAAGTGCTGCAAATAATTCCTTCAATTATAAGTTCTTCCAACACAGTGCCCCCTAATTCAGCTGTTCCTTGGCTTCTTGAAACATGGAGAAACATCATTTTACGTTTTTCACATCAAAATATAATTAGGTAAGCTTTATTTTTGCTTCAGATGAATTGGCAGATACATTTGGATGCTTGAAAACCAGGGTTGAATAGATGTAGGTAAAATAAAATATGGATGTTTTTAAAACTAGAATTTAAGTAACATTTTCAAAAATACAATTTTTAGAAAGAAGGCGGAAAAATATGTTCAAAAAGGTTTTTCGTTGCGTACCAAGATTCTTTAATTTTTTCTACTAATATTATCAAAGAAAGTAATAGAAGAGCATAAGCAGTCATATTTTCTGTCATTAAGGATCATACTTCATCAGTGGATTAAAGTACATTCGTAATACACTTCTTGACATACTTTAGGTCTTCAAGCACTTGTATTGTCATTGATTATTACATTTTGCTTTCAAATTTACCTTCATAAGGAATTCATGACTTTCCTCTTGATTGTATTTCGGCGTACATTAAACAACGCACTCAGAGTAGATATACCTTTCAAATGACTTTCTTTACTCGTATCTTTCGAATGCATTGCCAATTGAATAGTTGTCTCGCAGCGTTAAGTTTTAGGTATTTTTCTCTTCCTTATATACGTAAATTTATCGTCGATTAGAAAGGTAAGACTTATTTTCGCCGATACTATGTTTATTAAAAAAAAGACGATAAGTTGTATGATATCAAATACTTAAAAAGGACAATAAGTTGTATGATATCAGATGTTTCATGTTATTAATTATGTTGTGTTCAACAATGTGCCGTGTGGGCCCCAAATAATGCAACACTAAATAAAATAATACGTAATTTATGTTAAAAGCAACTGTTACGCAAATTTAGGTTATAATACAGCTTGCATGATTAAATGCATTAATATTTAACACCATAGTGTAACTACACCCTTCGCGTGGCTACCGCGACTCACCTGATTACCTGTATTTCGTCCGATACAGCGTTGCCCCGGCTGCTCAGTTCGCAGACTCCCTAGAGGGAGGCATGCGTGATAGGGCGAACTCTAATGCTAACACTACATTTAAACTCGTAGTTTCATTTTTTAAAGGTATTTTTAATTTTCGTTTCTGAACGAGGTGAAGCGTCTGGATAAAATTAGTTCTTAGAACTACCTTGTATCTAACTTACCTTATATGGCCGTACGGGCCAGAGTTCATCATCGGCTACCGGGCGGGGTCTTTCACCGACGGTTACGACATTTCCCGCGGGAGCGACAGACTGCGTCTCGCCTCACCACTTTGCTCATCATGAAGGCGGTCGGGCGGCAGGTGGCGTCCTCCCCGGTGGTCCCGACCCCTGTTACGGGAGCGGCGGTCCTCGGCTGGCAGCGTCTCGCCTCACCCCTTTGCGGAGTGACAGGCGGCGTGGCCGGATGATGGCTGCGGCGTAATCGCGTCTATGAGCCAAGAACGCTGGTCCGGCGACGGCGGCCCAGTTAGCTGCTGGGTTAATAGCGCCCCGGCCCGTCGTCATTCTGGGTTCGCGGTCGGATACTTAGTCATGGCCCACTGCGTTCCTTAAGAGTCAGCGTCCCCAGAAGCGACCTGCGATGTGGCTGCGAAGCGGCAATGCATCTGCTGGCGTTCCCCGTGAGTCAAAGCAACTCGCCCTCTCCCCCACCTTGGAAAGGGCCACCTACTTCTTGTCGTCTCCCTGATCGGAATGAAATGGCAGAAATAGCATCTTGCAGTTGCCTCCTCGGCTTGGCGGGTCACGTGGCCTTCCCCCGCTTAATTTCCCGCGTGCGTCACGCGATTTCTTCGGCCCAATCGTGGCGTCGTTGATGGACGCCCGTGTTTTGCCAAATTCTTAGAAACACGAACGTCATCCAAGTTCCGAGAAGAAGGTGCAGCGGCGTTTTCGGGCTTGGAGGCAATGGCGTACGTATTTGCCCACGCGTCACCGAATGCGGCCGGGCGTCGGCTGTGCCGAGAAAATGCCTCAGCATCCCCGACGCTCCAAAAACGCTTGCATGTAGTAAAAAACTCCACTTTCCTGGCATCTTTCGCAGCAACGTTATAGTCACTATAATTTTATAAAACACGCGTCGCTACCTGACGCGTGCGTCCATCCCATTACAGTAGGAATAATAATCCCTTATATTACATTTTTCTTCATAAAGTCTTCAGTAATATCTTCTACGTAAGTACCTAGATCTTCTATTGTAGGTACCTTGGTCTTCTACTTCAATCTTATACAGTGTCATTACTTCGTAGATTATTATAGAAAGAGGATGGAATGGATTACTTAGATTATTATAGAAAGAAACATATTACTAGTATTATAGACACACGTTTTCCTGAACCCAGGAATACCTACCGCCACTCCGTTACTGACAATAGTTGTAAGTTACGGACAATAGTTGTAGTTTGTAGCGCGATGGTGTAACGGTTAGCGTACCGGACTGTTGTACCCAAGTTGGCGGGTTCAAAACCGATCGAAGCTGATCGTGGATTTTTAAGGGCGAAAAATCCTTCGTACACCTTCCTTCTGAGGGGAAGTAAAGCCGGCTGTCCCATGTTAGTAGATTTACTTGCATGTAAAAGGTCCTCAAGCCTAAACGACGCGTCTGAGCTAAATCTATATCTCGCCCAAGAAATACCACCGTTCTCTGCTAGTTGGTGAAAGAAGCGTAGCGAAATTTGCGCGGTCAGATGGGAGATAACGCCACATGGCCACGCCACGTAAAATAAGGCATTAATTCATTTCACTAGTTGAATTAAGAATAAATGTTAGTGTCGAGCGTAGATACTGTTGACAAAGTGTAATTACAATGTACATCTTTACAAACTTAATTTGAAAGGTTTTTCATTTAGATCATACTAGGGAATATTTTATGTAGACAGTATTCGACATTTACATCAAAGTGTAGCTTTCCTTCTTAATACTCATTGACCTCAACACGTGCCAGCAATCTTGGAAAATATGTAGGCAAATTCAGAAGTGTATTCTCATTGGTTTCAGTAATTTCAGCCGACTTGTAAGAAAAAAACCCTCTAGTTACTAGCTATTCAAGACAGTGGCATGCGCCCTTTTTCCACAAGTTATTTCTAACATTCAGAATCTCGAGAAGTCTCTCTTGTGAAAGCTCCTAGAAGAATAGGCTCAAATTAATATGCAAATTGTTAATGGAATAGATGGTAGCATTAAAATTCAAAATTAACAGATGTGTGACATGTCTGTTTTGCACTGAGCCACTCAATTACAAAGTTATAGCGTGAGAATTATTTACCTCCGAAGTCATATCTCTTGTCTGAGACAAGTGCCAAGACTGTAGTTTACAATATACAATACAGTGCCCAAAAATTGTGAAGAAAAGCGGGAGATACCGTTATAAATTTTTTCCGCGATTCTGTGAAAGAAATTATGAATTTTCTCCATATCAAATGAAGAGATGTCAACTGTTCTGAATAATTGAGTCAAAGGCAATAGTTCATTTCATTAATCGTTTTGATATATCTGAAAATGTTTTATGTTGCGTGCTAAGTTTACATATGTACTCGTTGCTAAGTTGAGTATTGGCACGAAAATATAAATATAATTTCTATTCGTACCATCCATTCGAATTCCATTCTTTACATGAAATCATTCCTGGGGGCATTTAAAGTCATGCTGACTTATCTTTTTTTCGTCTTATTTGTTAATTTGGTAGTTATATTTGAGTGCAATTAATGTATTCCGAAGTTGACCCTTCGCAACATGTTTGTTAGCAATTTCCTCGTTCTATTAGTTATTATAATATACTCATACAATTGTAACAGTTTGCGCATGCGTTATTTGTTAACCACAGAAATAGAAAAAATAGATTTCGATGGGACTTTCGCTGAATCGTTGAATATTGTCAGACAAATTTCAGCTCTTCGGAAGTTCGCGGTCAAATTTTGGTCTGGAACTTTATGAGAAAGGAAAGTGCAGTATGCAATGTTTTTAGACGATGCAATCATAAAATTAAGGGGCGGGGCATTATCAGGGCGGAGCCCGACAGGGCCAAACTGACGGGGGAATCGCAGATTGCAGTAGAAACGGGTCGTTCCAGGTGTGGCGGAATTATCAATAAAATTGCTCGCATTTGTACTATAGATAGAATTCGTTCGTTTTCCTGACTAATAAAAATGAATATGATAAATACCTGGAGACTGTTGTGTACTTCAGCTAGTTGTCACTTTAAATTAATGTTAGATCTTGTATCCAAAAGTGTTCTATTTTATAGTGCGAGCAATCAATTATTTAATGCATTTCATTTGAAATAACTGATCGTTCATTATGTATACGTAAGCTTCCGCGGCTCGAATCCATGAATTCTCGGCTATCCGGGAGACGCCGCGTCTCCCGGATAGCCGAAAATTGATCGTTCATTATACTAGACAAGAAGGTTGTGAGTCACTAAATACTAATTATTTAGGTATTATTCAATAAATATTTATGGCAAAGTGCAGTATATTTGCTTATCTTTGCTTTTTTAGTTTGAATTTAAAGAGCCTTAGTTATTAAATATGTACATAAACTCTCTACCCTGTGAATATTGAAGTTTTATTAATTTCCAATTTCAGATGTCTGCAAAATCTTCCACCGTGGCTGCTTCTTACTAATACTTTAAGTGTGACACCCACACGTGCTTCAGTGGATGCGCTTAGTGAATTCCTCGACAAGAGTATGGTAAGAGTTGTTTTTTCTTCAGTTTTTCTGACATCTTCAAAAAGCAAATTTTGTTATTTAGATGTTGCAAAACATAGAGAACCGGTAGAGAGGATCAAGAGAAGTAACTTTTGTTTTGACAGTCTACCTCGAACCCCTGTTAAAGGCTCTGTTTCCTGAATGGGTCCGAACATCTCGTTTTTTGTTTTCCTGGCATCTCCATCCAATACTTGGACCCCCAGAATGTTGGAAGTGCCCATCTGTGCTGTTATTCTTCTTGCCATGCCAGGTGTCCTGCTCATACCCAATTCAGCTCTAGAGAGAGTTAGCGTCATATCCATCGCAAAAACGAAATCTACTGCATCACCTATCCCCATTTTATTTTATTTTTTATCAATGTTAACTTTAACATCGCCGATCTGACCGCAACTGGCACTGTGCCAATTCTCCGTAGAGGGGGGAAGAATTCCAGGGAGACATGACTCACCTGGTCTTGTGATTTCCTGTCTGCAGCGTTGAAATTATGATGAGACGCGTGCGTGACCGGCTTCTCCATGCACCAATGCATTGAAACTCGTGATTTGGTTAAAAATGGATTTTAATTTCAATTACAGTAGTAATGTTCTTAACCTAACCTTGACTTAATTGTCACGCCCTCTCGAGTCATTGTCCGGGCGTTCGGACCCTCAGGCGGATAAGGCGTCGACCCCAGCGTTCGGGACCTGCAATGGTGCATGCGGCGGCCTGCTCGGGCAGCCCAGCGCGGCACGGTCCGGTGGAGTCGGCAATGGCAGCCTCCCTCACCCCCCGAAGGACGGGTGGGGGATGTCCTGTCCTCTCGGGTGCTAGCGGCGGCTCCCCCGGAAGTCAGCGGCGTGGCCCAAGAAGGCGGTGGTCGCACCTCTGCCCGTCACGGGTCCTAGCTCGCGTTCGGCCGCTCTGGCAGACATGGGCCGCAGAGTTCTCCCCGAGCGGCGATTGTCCAGCGTGCGACCTGGCCCAGGCGGCACATGAACGACCGACGATGCTGCAGCGATTGCAGTCTGGCGGTTTCTACCGGCTGCGGCGGAACGGCGTGCGGCGCGACGCCTAGCGGCATGCGGCAATGCGCGAGCCCGCGTTCATGAGCCCGCCACCGTACATGCTGCTCCGTCTTAGCATTACTACTCTGCGACGTCGCTAAATATAAACGTTGTTGGAAATTTGAATTCTTTGTCGTTTCCTGAATGAAAAGTGTGTTAGTGTACTTATGGATGTTTTACAGAAGTAAGTGTCGTTATTATTGAGTAGTAAGAGGTATCTTTGATCGTATTTTTGGAAATCAAAAAGATCACAACGTATGTAAATTTACAATCGCGAGATCCTATAAATGTGGGCTATCGGACCTACAGAATTTCAATATTATCGTGATCGCGTCATTTCTTCTGGTAAATAATCAAATTAGGGCAAGAGAAAACATCTAAAATAATTAATTTGAACGGCCATCAGCCCGGAAGACATGAAGAATATTGACTCCGGCCGTGAAAGCCTACAATGCTGTATATACCTATAAATGTTATGAGTGTTATTTATACAGTATTCAAAAGTTAACTTGTGGTGCACAGACTTTCCCGTATTAGATTCCTATTTCCATTGGTCTCAGCTAGCTATTCGGACTTTGCCAGGTGCTGTCTATCACTGCCCGAAGGACGGAAATATGAATAATAAATAATTATTCTTATATTAATGAACAGTAAAACATCCTCAATGGCAATTTCCTTTGAAAAATTTGGACCTCTTTGTAAGACTATGGTGTTCAAGAGCTACTGTGAAATTTGAAGCTCTTTTTCATAGAAACTTTTTGAATTTTCGAAAAACTACATTAGTAGTAATTTGAAGCACATTGACTCATAAATACAGTACTGTTTACAAATTGCTGGAAGTGAGCATATTAATAGTGTAAAAAATCTTTCAAAAAAATTACATTTGTTAAAATTTTTAAAAATGAAATACAAAAAAATACCCCCAAAATAAACTAAGTTGTATTAAGAAGTGCAATAATCTCTATCCGTTCGAATAGTTTTTAAAACATTGGGTTTGACCGTTCCTGAACATTTTAAGCTACTTTTCACACAAAACGTGAGTTTTCGAGAAACTGTATATGACAATATTTGAAGCATATGTACTCATAAATATAATGTGAACAAATCACCGCTAATGCAAATATAAACAACGTGAGAAACAAGTTAAAAAAATTACATTTTTCTAATTAAAAAAAGAAACTAATAAAGCAATATGACGTTTATGTCATCTCATAGAGTACATTTAGCACGATTCCTACCAAAAGTTGAAAGAAATATTTTGCAGCCGTTTCGGAGAAAATTCTTCTTGTAATTTTTTAAAATTACACGCAATTTTTCGCGAAAACTACTAGAATTGTCAATAAATGTGCATGACCTTAATGAAAGAACTGACAATGGAGAACAAATTTAATAATTAAAGGGAAAATCTCTTTTCAATTGTGACGTTGTAGGAACACGCCATAAAAATTCAAACATATGTAATTTTCGATAATTCAGAGGTAATCTTGAAAATCTGACGTCCGCCACCTTTACAAATGTATTTTACTCTATTCTTACAAGAAGTTTAAAGAAAATATTTAGAGCTGTTTTTAGAAGAAAAAAAATGAAAATGTCCGGGAGGCTTCATGTAAAGTATCCCAAATTTCGAATAAAGCCTTTAAAATCGCCTTGAGTGGAACCAGATCGACTGGAGAATATTCATTTTGGAAAAACTCTTTCATATGGTTTACGCCAACAAAGGGACGGACGTGTTGCTGTCGATTTCCTTTTCGGTATCAAGGATCCATAAAACAGGGATTCTGGCTACACGTGTTAGTTTTTTTCTTTTCTTTTTCTTTTAATTTTTTTTTTTTTTTAATTTTTTTATTATTATTTTTTTTGTATGTAGCTACTGTGTATGTAGCTACTGGATTTTTCCACTTTTTTGTTATCAGGGCCCGGCAATGAATTTTTTCTGCCGAAAATCCACCATATACACATAATATGTGTAACAAAATACGTATGTGTAATATTACACATACGTATACATGAAAATAAAAATAATTGGAAATTGTGTGAGAATTTTGTGAGAAGTATGTTAATTCAAAATTCCTTGATATTTTACAGGACAAAATGTCGGAGAAGGGCTTTCTTTCTCACAATATTGTTTGCATGGTAATTGCAGCCATCCGATCTTCTTCTCCACATTGTAAAGGTGAAATGTTATCTCAGTTCATTGATACTTGTCCAGCTCTTCACCTCAGCATCTTGGTGAGTATCCTTATAATGGAAATCAATATAATACAATAAATTTTAAAAACAAATTGCTTACTTGACTTGCCAAAACGTAAATGCAAATACTGAAATACGTATGCGAATACTAAGCCCCTTCGCACCAGTGTTTCGAAACTGTATTTCAATCTTCCTGGCGACAGGTATATAAATTAGTTAATTGATCATCAGATTTAGCCACACTCCAAAGATACCTTACCATCACACCGTGATTTACACTATTACTCCCAAAATGACAAAAGTAGGATTGAGGATAGGGACAGAAATTCCTTGCATGAAGGGTCGATTCTTCCTGCAGAGATTTTTTTGCAGAGGCATATGGGCTATTGAATACACCGAAATACGTTTATAAGCGGCAGTGTGGTGTGAAACTATTCCAGAAGTGCTCTTGAAATCTTCTGTTTCTCTTCTAGTGACAAACTCATAGTAAATCAGCAACATCAAATTCGTTGTCTCTAATGCTGTAGTGTTATAACTTGTTTCTTCAGTGCCTGACCTCACGAAATTGTCACATTTTAATATTTCATAACCATGAACAATATTGCGAGAAAGTATAAAATATGGCACGGAATGCAATGGCAGAAAGCTATTTCCGTTTAAATGTTTTCTTTTTTTAAAAGAATATTTCGCGCTTCATTTAAGAATTTTTCAAATGGTAGCTGAAGTTGAATGCAAGAGTTGTCACATTATAATGTTACGTATCAATTAACAATATTGCGAGAAAATATGTGTAGCACTAGTTTCTATATGTTCAATCTACAGTTGTAGTAAACTAAACGCTTTTATGATTTATGAAGTCCGTAATAACATGACTAAATGGAAAATATGTTTCAGTGTTTATCGCATGTTTTCAAGAAAGTGTGTATAATGTATCCTCTAATCCAGAAAACTCGTTTTTAAGATACCCCATTACTTATAGATGATCTCTGATGATTGCTGAGCCATCGAAAAGTTCTTAAGCACTAAAAATATTGGTACCTAGATAACATATTTTTACTCAATTGATTTTTAAAACCAATCCTTTTTCAACTTGAGTATTTAACTTACTTTTCTGTTGATATGGACAGCGGCATTGGCAGAAACTGTGGCTGCAGCTGGTTCCGAGCTTCACAACTTCATGCCCTAAAGGCTGCAGTTTGGATAGGATTATGAAGGTGGTGGTAACAGACAATGCTAATATGAAATACGGAAAGACCAACTACAATTGGGAAGTGGGGTTGGTGCACTGGAGCAGAGGAGGACCTCTTCCCCAAGTAGATGATGGTTCACTGTTCTTCTATATGGTGGACCTTGGGATGCAATTACTGACGGGCTCAGTTGGAATGTTAATGGTCACTGAGGGTCCAGTTCTCCCATCAGCAATGACAATGGCAAATTTACTAGTTCAAGAACCTCTTCATTGCTTGAAGGTACATCCTTTTTAACTATTTTCATAAATTGATTTGACTTACTTTATTTCAACCACAAAATGAAGACATAAATGGAATGATGTTTGCTGCCTGGCAAGTCCGTAGCTAGTGCTATTGCAACAGATATCACTTAAACTTTTTTTTCCATTGCTCCCTTGCGCATTTGAAGAAGAAAAAAAAAAAGAAAACCTAAAGTCCAATATGTTCATACATCAGCGTTCTTTGATGAAAGTAGATTGTACATTTTATTAATTCACATATATTAAAATATTATGTACATGATATCATTTCTGTAATGGGTTTTTGAATAATAATTCAACATTAAATTTATCAGGAATATTTAAAAAATTGGCTAATTAGATTTGAACATTATAGAACTATCATTACAAAACACAATGTAATTGTAATCACAGTAATATATAATCATAATTTTGAATGTGAGAAATAAGGGGCCGATTTTTATGACCTAAAACATTGGCAAAAAGGTCTACAAAATGATTTTAAAATGTCCTAAAATCAAAGAAAAATGACGTAAAAATTTTTATCAAAACCATTGCTCAGCTTGCTTTGGGTTTGCACTATACTTTAAAAGAAAATCTCTGCCTTTATTTATCGCGAACTCCGCCGAACTGACAATGGCGCCGATAAACTCCACAGGAATCTTAGATTACGTAATGCTCACAACTGCTGACATTACAATATACGAGCGAATAAAACGAATAGACTATTCAGGAATTCTGTGGTGTAGCGCCTCGCAAATATTGTTTGAAGCAAGAACCATTAAAATGGTGTTAAATCGATGAAATCAGCGAAAAATACATATTTTACATTTTTACGACATTTTTATTGTATTACTCGAAATAGACGAAAAATGCACAAAAAATAACAAAAATGTGTCATTTCGTTTCGTCATAATATAATATGAAATGAATTTATTTACTAAAATGCATTGTTTTAAATTGAAAAGAGAAAAATACGTTTCATTAAGGTGCGTCTCCTAATGATAAAAAATTGAAATTTGACTTTAAATAATATTTTATAAAGTAATACATAGAATGTGTATATCTGAACAATTTAATAAATCATACATGTAAAAGTACTGAATTAATATTATAAAAACCTTATTACTCTAATAAATCGTAATTTAAAAAAAATTAAATCATAATGCTATCCTCTGTAAGAGGTAAGATTTATTTAGGTGTATTGGAAATTTAAAAAATATGTTTTCATGTTTGTTTTTTCTCAGATGGTGGGTGATGCATCAAAAGCAGAATCACTTTGTTCCCCTGCTGCAGGTATTTCGTATACCGCACGTGTTGGCTTATCTCTAGCCACTATGGGTGTCATGTTGTCTATGGACATTGAGTACTTGCCTAGTCCTGGCAGTGACTCAGCCAAGGTGTGCTCTAAAATTCTTAAGCAGTGTGTGGAATGGTGGAAGCTAGTTTGTCATGAACTTGACCTTTGTGATTCTCGAATACAGGAAGTATCGTTTGTACAATGGTTGACAAAACGCATTTATAAATTATTGGAATGTTTTTCAGTGTAAATAAATTTAAAAAGTGAATTATTCTTGTGGTTATAACAATGTAAAATTGCAGTTTCGTTTACAATAATTGAGTTAAAAAATCTTGTTTCTGTTGAATTGCTCGAAGTTTCTCATTTAGAGTGGCTTAGAACTAGATGTTAACACTAGGACTACCGACGGGGGCAACGGGTCTATCCTAATGCAGAATTTAGTTTTTAATATTTTTTCTTTCGTTTACCATTTTTATGCCCTTGTATAATTGTTCTTTAATGGATTTCTTGCATTAATTTGAAAATATCTAGTGTCTTTCTGGCTTGGTTGCTGGACTGTGGAAGCACCACTTCTATTCTTTCCATTGATTCTCAAATTCACGGTGTATTTTAAATGTGATTGTTGTTTATACAAAATAGCCTTTTTTCTTTGACTAACAATTCTCATTAATCCTCCCTTCGTTAATTCCCGGTTTGTAGTCGCACCGACGAAGTGAGCAGGCGTATCTTGAAGTGTCGAAAGACGCCGTGTTTAAAGCGATAAAGGTTTGTGAAAGGCATAGTTTTGGAGCAGATTCTCTTACAGAAACTTCAAGATTCCGGAATAAAAGTAAAAAGGTCAAAATTCGCATTTTCCCGTTTTCTGCAAGTTTCCTGTTCTAGTTGGTACGAGATACCGCCAGGGGCTCTGCTGACACCCCACAAAAATTGCCAAACATTACATTCATTCACAACATTAGTGTTCGTGCATTCTAAGCTACTTGAGAAAAAAATTGAGTGGCCGTCATCGGTCGCTACGAGCATGGTTGTGGCGAAGGCTTAAGCGGGCGCTCAGAAAAACGCTCCGAATGAAGGAAGTCGTGGCTGCTTAAATGAGATTGTTACCTCAGTTTTGCAAGAAATAGGAAAATAAACTCATGATAAAATCTAATAACTCGTATCCGCCACTCCAATACACAAAATCGCACGAATTGCACCTAACCTAACGGTTATGACCAAAACAAGTTAATTCCTTAAAACAGTATTTTATTCACAATGCCGAGCGTACAGGGAAAGACGTTCAGATGCGTTGTCACAAAATTAAGAGATTTACCGAGGACTAGCCAAATTAACCAAAAGCCAAAGAGATGTCCACTTACGAGGCCGTCTAAATACCCAAAAGAGAATTCCGTAATACTGACCGGCATCGTAGTCACTGAATGTATGCACTCTCGTAGCGCGCACTATGTTGGGATGACTGGAACTGCTTCACAGCTGGTTTCGCCGTTTTATACCGGGGGTTGGGGCTGAAGGCTCGTCGACTGGTACGGCCGATGGCGCGCTCGGTCGCGCTGACCGAAGCGTGACGGCTTCGCTGAGCCCGACCTCAGCGACCTCCCGTGAGCGGTGTCCGTATTTTCCTGGGGTGGCGCCGCCTCGCTGCTGCGTCCCGGAGCTGGTTCTTTGAAAGGAGAGCGGGCAACCACTACACTAACCACAAATTTGAAGAAGATGGGCGGTTTCCGCCGTTATCAAGACCATTAGTGAAAATTCTCACACTAAAGTCAAACTACTTTTCTATTAGACCAAAAACCGAATCGAAAATCAAAAGTACGACCAATCTGCACGAAAACTGTTTAAAAGGGCCTTTGATTGTCTCTTATCACGGAGCGATGCAACGGTTTTGGCAGTGGCGCTTCTACTAGCAAAGGATTGGTTTAAATTGAGATATTCGCACACCGTGGGAGCTGTTGGTGCACTTCCGCCATCAGCAGCGCAGGCGCACTTCCGCCACCCCAATCACAAACTAAATATAAATGTCAACCTTCTCATTAGGGCACTGGAAAGCATCGCGGAGTTTATGTTACCACGTTGACGTCTAGGATGACACTGGCGCCCATTAGTCACTAAAGAATCCTTCCTTTTCCATTCTCAGTGGCGCTGGGCAATTGCTGTGTGAAGGGGTTCGGTGCTGTCGAGTGACTCCTTGCAAAGGCGGCCTTGAAGGGCCTGCGATCCTTGCGACCAGTGCTGATGTAAAAACGCGCGTCAGTGCCGGTTTGAAAATGAGCTCAAAATTTTCATTTTCAGAAACGCTGAAATGCAATTTTCTCAAAAACTCCAATTTTATTCTTCAAACTTTTCATACGGATAGTGCCATTTGCAAGGATTAAGATGACATAAAATTCATTTTGCTACATTCTTTTGTTTACTCAAAAATGACACACGTAATTGTCTCTCGCCATTAATATGCACATTTCCAGCAAATAGTATACATTATTGCATTTGTAAATTAATACACGTCAAATTACTCCAAATTATTTCCATGTTTTTCGAAAACAAAAGATTTCTATGAAGAGGATATTCAGATTTACAGTTATGACATTTTCGTAACAAGCGCTCCAAATTTTTCACCCAAAATTTCTATAATACTCTTAAAGTAGTTTTTTCGTTTCTGCCATTAGGAAACCGAAAAATTGCGCAATTGTGAAAAAAAATATATTTGGGTGGCGAGATATGGCAGCTGGAAAGAGGATGGCGAACTAGCTAGGCTCCAAAAGCTAGCACCGGCCAAAGAAATTTGGAAAATTACTAGTTTGACCGTCCATCTACCGGAAATGATCAGTTGCGGTTTCTTTAACCTCCGTGTGCGACTGTATGTACCATTCTTTACACTGTTTTAAGTGTCAAAGGTTTGGACATACACAGCAACTAAGTATGTCGGTAAGCCCAGTTTGTGGGAGGTGCGGTGCAGCAATGTACGATCCACATCCCTGAGCTACACCATCGCACTGTGTCAATTGTGAATGCCCGTCGAGGTGGGTCGGTTCGCGTCCTGACGGAGTATGCAGAGAGGGGTTTCAAGTATTCCTTTCTTTCACCAGTCATCCTTATCTTTCCCATCGTTCATCGCCATTCTTTGACATCATGTCTCTTTTCTTCTACCCCTTCTTTTTCACTTCCCCCCATGTATACAGACCGCCCACCCATGTGTTTGCCGTGCATGGCAACCCGTGTCGGAAGGAATGTGCCCTGGCAGTTGAGGGACCTGTCTTTTTCCCGACTAATCCTTCTGGTACTTCTAGTTGGCACTCGGATACGTCGTTTTCGTATATTGGGAAATTTCTTATTGGCTTCCAACACACTTGTTTGTCCTCGGACTTTTGGATGGGCAGTCAGGAGCTAACCCGTTCCCTCACAAACGGCTCGGACTAGGTATATTACTGAACTCCAGGGTGAGCGGGGGAATCTACGTCGCGGCAGCGATGTGTCATTCCTCCCATTATATCTCTATGGCAACCCTGGCACTCCCCTTGATGGGCTCCGACGGAGTGTGCCCTTGTTAGGCTCCGTGGTGGGTGAGGGTCTCTATGGATATTAAAGCTTCTCTTCGGTACGGGAGTCGCATATAAGGGAGGCCCAGTTGGTGAGGGTGGAAAGGACACCACGTTTCGTGGCTGTGGGCAGTGATGAGTCGGCATGTGGCGATTGGTGTGGGTGGGTTAGCGGTATACAGAATAACCGAGTGTGCCATCAGGGTGCTTGGTTTCTAGGACGTCAGGAAAGGGGGTTGACCCTTTTGTTCTATTTCCATGATGAATTTAATGCTCCATATCACAAACATTGACCAATTCCATTTCTTACCAACGACCAAAAACCGGACAATACAAAACTGACCTTAACTCCTCCTTCTGCCCAAACGATCTGACTTAATGGCAAACTGTAACGGACGACTGCAAAATCTTCTTGTACTGAACTACTCATCACGCCTGAAACTTTTATTGCCTACAGGAAAATAGACACAATGAGCACAACAGAATTAAAAGAGAACTTCTTCGGACATGTTTCATACCACTACAATAGAGCGACAGACGAACTCCGAGTCTAGATAGTAATCAAAGGACTTCCCCCCAAATTCCCGGCAATCAAGGACAAAAGAACAAGGGCAACAAAGTGACACCGAAATGCAGAAGAGGGACAACACGAGGCTGACATCCTTAGACATGTTTCCTTTTGAAATACCAAATTGAGACATTAAAGAGACAAGAGTCTATAAAAAACATTGGATTTTACTGCATCAGGACAGAGAACTGTAAACAGAGCGACCTGATACCACAATGGAAAAACTTCCAACGACTATACCATACAATGATTTGCTGTAGTTGAGAGACTATCCGTACCCTCTATTCCTTAAACCACAAGTCTGAAGACTGCATCTCCTGTGAATCCGAATCCTTTGTTCGTAAATGAATAATTATAAACATAACCATTCTGCTTTTGACTCTAACTTCCCCTTCCTAATAGACGCCCGTATCCAAAGACAAAAAAAACTCCTAACAAACTACCATTCCAACTCTTATATAACTCCCTCCCTCCTCTAAAACCCCAATCTTACTCTGTAGCTACCTCAAATAACACTCCAAGAAACCCAAACACAATCCTCAACATCAGACCTCCGCGAACGCCTCACCTTAATCCAATCCTTTGACCTAAGAAAATTCCTCTCAGCAAGCCATCCCACAAGTATTAAGCATCCTCAAAGGCCTAATAGACGCTCTATCAAAACTAATCCAACCCGCAATTAAACTAGTAGAAATCTTTAAATAGCTCCCTCTTCTCGTTTCCTTACACTTTATACATGGAATGCGTGCGGCGGTTTGAACTTTAAGAGGCCTCTTAACCAATTCCTTAGAGACCACTCCTTAAGAATCATATCCCCACAAGAAACCATGATTAAACCCAACATCCTTTTTTCCCTTCGCAATTATACTGTACATCGCACCGACCACCTTACCTCCAACGGTGGTGGCGCACCCAACATCAGGAACAATATCACACACCACACCATACCAACTCCCTCCCACCAATGACCTTGAATGCTCGGTCGTCACAATTGGAACCCCGTCCAACCCCAGTTATATCCGCTTACAAACGCCCGCATTCCTATCTCTGACTTAACCATGTTCTTCAACCTACCTCATCCTTTCTGGTGACGTAAATAGCAAAAACACCCAATGGGGCTACAAGACGACAAACGCGATGGGACGGACTCTAGAAAACTTCCTAGGTAATCGCCCGTCAAATCATGTAAAAAGCCCCCCGGAACCTACTCACTACATCGAAGATCACCTCCGCATCCAAAATTCGACCTCTGTTCTGATTATCTCCCTCCTTTTTGAAACCACACAATAGATCCCGTACCTTACACCGCAACGCCCACCACAACCTCATCCCAACTGGAAAACCATTACCCCTATGCGTTCCAAAAATCCACGTCTATTCCCTCAACACCCGAAATAGACACATCAATAACCCACCTCAATCTCCACATTAAAAAATGACTACAGAAAAGCCTCCACCTTTCCACAAACACCCACCCAACCATCCCAAACGATGTCATCCATAAGACTTAATAGACGGACGCAAAGGCTACTACAAAT